GAGGTCCATTTTCACTTAGACGGTTATACGAACAGGCAAAATTGCAGATATTGGGCACCAACGAACCCAAAAGAGAAACATCGATGGGTGCCCAGTGGGAAAGTTCACATTTCAAACTTGAATTACGCGGCAACCGTATACGCGATGACATGAGGAGAGGCCTTGATCGACGCGTTCGGCGGGCGGGTTAAATAGTCACAATGGAACGTTGGACCGGACCGCAACGTGCTTTTGTTATCGAGGCTTACTTTATGTTGAATCTTTTTCCTACGCAGCGCAGACTCGAGAACGTCGTTTTCAGTGGCGAGGTCCATTTTCACTTAGACGGTTATATGAACAAGCAAAATTGCAGATACTGGGCACCAAGGAACCCAAAAGAGAAACATCGATGGGTGCCCAGTGGGAAAGTTCACATTTCAAATTTAAATTACGCGGCAACCGTACACGCGATCACGTGAGGAGAGGTCTTGATCGACGCGTTCGGCGTGCGGGTTAAACAGTCACAATGGAACGTTGGACCGGACCGCAACGTGCTTTTGTTATCGAGGCTTACTTTATGTTGAATCTTTTTCCTACGCAGCGCAGACGCGAGAACGTCGTTTTCAGTGACGAGGTCCATTTTCACTTAGACTGTTATATGAACAAGCAAAATTGCAGATATTGGGCACCAACGAACCCAAAAGAGAAACATCGATGGGTGCCCAGTGGGAAAGTTCACATTTCAAACTTGAATTACGCGGCAACCGTATACGCGATGACGTGAAGAGAGGTCTTGATCGACGCGTTCGGCGTGCGGGTTAAATAGTCACAATGGAACGTTGGACCGGACCGAAACGTGCTTTTGTTATCGAGGCTTACTTTATGTTGAATCTTTTTCCTACGCAGCGCAGACTCGAGAACGTCGTTTTCAGTGGCGAGGTCCATTTTCACTTAGACGGTTATATGAACAAGCAAAATTGCAGATACTGGGCACCAAGGAACCCAAAAGAGAAACATCGATGGGTGCCCAGTGGGAAAGTTCACATTTCAAATTTAAATTACGCGGCAACCGTACACGCGATCACGTGAGGAGAGGTCTTGATCGACGCGTTCGGCGTGCGGGTTAAACAGTCACAATGGAACGTTGGACCGGACCGCAACGTGCTTTTGTTATCGAGGCTTACTTTATGTTGAATCTTTTTCCTACGCAGCGCAGACGCGAGAACGTCGTTTTCAGTGACGAGGTCCATTTTCACTTAGACGGTTATATGAACAAGCAAAATTGCAGATATTGGGCACCAACGAACCCAAAAGAGAAACATCGATGGGTGCCCAGTGGGAAAGTTCACATTTCAAACTTGAATTACGCGGCAACCGTATACGCGATGACGTGAGGAGAGGTCTTGATCGACGCGTTCGGCGTGCGGGTTAAATTGTCACAATGGAACGTTGGACCGGACCGCAACGTGCTTTTGCTATCGAGGCTTACTTTGTGTTGAATCTTTTTCCTACGCAGCGCAGACTCGAGAACGTCGTTTTCAGTGACGAGGTCCATTTTCACTTAGACGGTTATATGAACAAGCAAAATTCCAGATATTGGGCACCAACGAACCCAAAAGAGAAACATCGATGGGTGCCCAGTGGGAAAGTTCACATTTCAAATTTGAATTACGCGGCAACCGTATACGCGATGACGTGAGGAGAGGTCTTGATTGACGCGTTCGGTGTGCGGGTTAAATAGTCACAATGGAACGTTGGACCGGACCGCAACGTGCTTTTGTTATCGAGGCTTACTTTATGTTGAATCTTTTTCCTACGCAGCGCAGACTCGAGAACGTCGTTTTCAGTGACGAGGTCCATTTTCATTTAGACGGTTATATGAACAAGCAAAATTGCAGATATTGGGCACCAACGAACCCAAAAGCGAAACATCGACAACAGCTTGATAGTAATAAATATTATCTTTTCATTAAGTTTGTATTTTTATCTTAAATAAAAAAGTGGACTTTCCCACTGGACACCCTGTATAATTTATGACTATGGCAGTTGTGTCTCTGCTACTATTATTCGTCATTGTTCGTCAGGTGGACCTTTGCTCTTAGTTAAAAGTCTCGTCGGTCTGTTAGTCTGACAGGTCTGGCTACTCAGATACTTAAGGGGGGCTTAAGGAGAAAAGGGGAAGAAGGAAAGAAAGGAAGGAAGAAGTAAATCATTTGAAATGGCTTAAGCATTATTGCTTTGACTACTCGAATAATTTTGTAACTCCAAAAGTAATTTTTGAAATAGTTTTGGCTGGTCTGAATTCCCAAGTTTGATCACAGTGCGAGGCTTGGCCTGGAATGTTTGCGAACGTGCTCGACTGTGTAGTCCACTGAATCACGCAACAGAGGGTTGCGGTGCGATTCGGCTTGATTATAACGCCGCTGTGCCTGTGGTTTTACATAATCCCTTAGATATGGGATATCAAGATATCTGTGAATGGTCTCATTTGACACGTACCATGGGACGTTAGTGATATAAAAAAATGGAGGTTGTCATTGCTTGGAGACGCAACAATCTTGTACATTTTAATGTTTCCAAAACACAGTTGACGAACAAAAAGCGGCCTAGCGTTTTTAGGCTGCTTGAGAGTAAAAAAGTTCAAACTAGCATCATGATACGTATCGGGATCTCGGAAACCATCGATGCTATGTAAAAAAGTAATAAAAACAATTTTGTATGGAATTAAATTCTTTATCAATTGCCGTATAGTCAACAGGTTAAATTCCCTGTCCCAATCGGAAAATTATTTGGCTACGCCCCTGGCCATGCGTCTTTACAACACAGTAGGTACGCACGGTAACAGAAAAATCGTATAATCTCCGACACAAAGGTGAGGTGTAACTTCATATACGATTTAATAACGCCGTAAACCAACATACTTTATGATTTTAATGATGCCTAATAAAACGGCAATGTTATGATGTGTCTATTAAAGACACACGAGATTCTGAAGTGCGTTATTAAATCGAGCATTTTCCGTTTGATAGATCAATAGAATCAGGTGTCAATACGTACATTGTTCTGGAACAACAAATGCAGTATCGGGGGGTTATAATATGTGCTTATAAAATCAGAAATTTTACCTTAATTTATGTACATACAGAGTGGCGCATCGAAAACGGAAAAGACACATTTACTAGCAGCTCATTTTTTTTTTTTGAAAAACGCTCAGACCCGTCGATTTTGTTTTCGAGGGGGATACAAGTTTGGCAAAAAATCACGTTAACACGTGCAGCCCCCTGGGCGGGGGCGACACCAACCCTAAAATCTTAAATGGAAAGGGGGATCAAGTGATACCTTATTTTAAAGGTCTTTATAATGATGTAAAATACATGAGCTTCAGTTCAGTAGTTTTGAAGATTTATTGATTTAAAGCTTAAAGTAGACTTTAATAGGTACATCAGATTAGTTTGTACTACTTTCTGAAGAAATTTGACTAAAAGAATTTACTTAATAAGTAAATGCTTTTGTTTATCATTTTGTTGTTGAAAATAGTATTCCATTTGCGGAGTATTTTATTTGGAATAAACTAAAATTTTGCCAAATCGTTTTTATTTTTTCTGACATTATTTTAAGAAATATCAAAAAACGAATGAAGCGTTTTCAATGGCACATTTTTGGCACTACATGATGGTGTTTTTAAATTTCCTGCCTGATGTTTCGTTTTTGTGAAACCATCATCGACTTTGTTTTTTTATTTGGTCCGAAAAAAGTACACCCTGTATCTGGCTGGTCTAAGTCCTTGGCAAATCCTGACTTTATAGGGGTGATACCTATTTTTATGCAAAATAAATCGGGCTGTTGTTTTGGCTACTACTGCCAGAAACCCATTTCAAAAGTGGTACATGGTTATTTTCTTCCATCCATTTTATAGCCTATTGTGAGGTATGGCACGCTGCACCATTTTGCTGAAACACAAAATCTTGGCTGGATGCCAAACATTCTTCCATTACTGGTAAAAGCGATTCTTCTAAAATTGCCAAATATTTGTTTGTATCCACATTTCCATCAATAAAATGAAGTTTTCCTACTCCTTTTTATGACATACTGCCCCAGACTACTAAATAATTGGCATGCCTGTTTTTCACAATTATTCTTCTTAATGCTCTTCAGTCGACATTTGTGATATTACTTTTTTTCACATATTGTGGCTTAATATTAACTGAACTGGTCACGTTATATCTTCTAACAATATTTCTCACACTTTACCGTGATAAGTCTAACAAAGTTGCAATTTCTGAGTTTGATTTCCCAGAATTAAAAAATTTAATTATCAGTAACCGAATTTTCTCACTAATAACCTTTCCTCTAACTATTTTGAAAACCTTAACTACTCAAAACTATTTTAAACGTATTCTGACAGCTGTGATTAATAAAAACAATTGTCATGGCTTTTATTTTTCACAGCCACCTATGTGTTATAGATTTATTTTGCATTGAAATGAAAATAGGTTGATATGCTGTAATTGCAACATGTGTTATTTTTATGCTGCAAATTTGATTAGGGAGTGATAAAGTTGGTGTTTTCTACTATATATTATCAAAATATTCATTGTTAATATTTTAAACCTGTAACACCCTACCTACATTTGTATTATTTGTGTTTGATAAGAAAAAAACTAAGATTTCAATAGTTGGGCCAACTGAAGTGGGAAGGGGCTCGTATAATTTTTGATGAATGAATTATGACAGTATAAATTCAACACCCCATATTTCAGTAGAGACGGATTCTACAGTTTTCATTTATATGATTTTTTGAGTCATTTTTGGGCCTAGCTTCAGCCTAAAAATATTGACCTTATTCCTTAAGTCATCCTGTATGAGGATAATAAAAGAACAAACTGTGTCAATAGCATGAAGAGTAAATGATTATTATTATTATTGTTTCATCATGTATTCTTGAGAAAGAAGCACTACTTGTTATTTTCACTGAAATAATATCTTATACTTGATTGTGAAATAATAAATATTGTACACTGCTGAAGTTTCACTGATACAGATACTTTATACACCTACTCATACAGAGCTTAATTAAAATAGGGTTTTTGACCAAATCCAAAAATAGAATCAAAATAAGATATTATGCAAGAGATAAGCAAACACAGCAGTCTAGACATTTTGGTAGATGATTGAGTCAATAAAGATTACAGCTGTGAAGTTTACTCTTGCTTCCTGCATTGAAATAGAGATAATCGTGTGTTTACAAACACACAAAAGTAAGTAGATAACACACTTTTCTAATTACGTTTATATCGGTTTATCCTAGTTTTGAACTTACCTGAATATAGAGGAATAAGAGGTTCTTGGTCAGATTGCTTCTCCATTTTTCTTCTAGCTCATTGTCCACGATCCAAGTTTATACACGGTAAATACTCTTTACACAAACAGTTTATGAATCCATGTAACGAAATCGTCCAGACACGGTACCGATTTTATTAATCACTTTCTTTCAATACAAACAAGAATTCCAGCACACTGTACGGAATTATAAAACACTTTGTATGATTCGACCGAGTTCAACTGCACGTTGAAAATCGAGGTATTAAGCTCGACACATTTTCATAATAAAACAACGGTTAAACAAGCCAAAAAAGCAGAGAAACGATAAAATTTTATTGAAAGGGATCGGAATCGCCCATGTTTTGACACTTGTTACATTTAGGCGGCCATGTTTACTCAATCACCAATGACGTCAGAAAGAGGTAAGCAGCACATGCGCATTGCGATCGAAACAGGGCCGTATTCTAAAAAATATTTTCTGCATTGTATCCACCTCAAAGAACAAAATCCGAATGGGTAGAAGGATCCACCATCCCATTTCTCCTAGTACTCCTAGTCAGTAGTCAGCATGAAAGTACATCCTACAAATTAATTAGGCCAGTTTGACAATCGTTGACACCTCGCATTGAATTCACAGTTTTCTGCAGAACGAAATAAAGGTGAATGGACTTTCACACAATTCTGGTGTGTAAGCATATAGGCTTGGCTCCCAATCTATTCGAATGATCTGTACTCTAGAAGTATATGGCGCTAGTTAGGTTGGCGTTCATGCGTGAGGTTATAAACCTACCTAAAGCCATCTTTTTCCATTAACGTTTGACAGTTTGATCTGCAACCACACTAGTGTCACCTAGTGGCAGCAGAATTGGACATCATTGCACGTTGAGCTCTGTGTGGGTGGCCTACTTTAGAATCTGCGATTCCAATGCTTGATGTTATCTTGTTTTATTTACAGTTTGTTACGTAAAACAGAATGAAGTGTCTGCAGCAAAGACGCAGTATATTTTATAATTTCAAAAATAGAAAAGCGAACAAGCCTACAGGGTCTGAGGTGTTGACTAGTTATTTGAAACAGTGTAAAGAACCTCCTTGGACGTCGTATTTTGTGAAGGTAACTGTTGGTTCATTTTGGTGTACCTTTTTAAGAGAAAAATATAAAAACAATTAATAAGAACATAAATATTCATGGAATTCAGTATTTTTTAAGACTTATTGCTTTCAAATGTCGCCTGTTATTTACATGGATTTTTATCTCAAAACATGCCTTCATACAACGTATGTCACCTTTTTTTAATAAACATAACAATTCTCTTTATTTTTCAGTATAGCGATATTGTGGATGATCAGTGGGGTAAATCTCATTTCAATTGGCTAGTGGGCTTCTCAAACTATCACATTTTGAGAACAGGTTGTTTTCCTTACATCAAGTATCATTGTACTAAAAGAGCTGTACAGGATCTATCTGTAGACGACTATTTCTTTAAGGCAATCAAAGTGTTGAATTTAGGTACAACATTGCATTATTACTTAATATGGTATGTTTAGTGGTGATTTTTTAGGTATTCCATGCTTTGCTTATGGAATAGCGGCGATATACTTAATTAAACATACTGAAATTGTTGGGACTAGCCAAGGAGATGTTCCCATATATTTTCTTTATCCAGAAGATAAAGGATCCTTGTATTGAATCACGAATAAACTGGTGCATTAACTGGAGATTTCTTGTTCACATGATTTTTGAATAAAACTTTCATACTCCCTAGACTTTTTATTTTCGTATATAGTTTCTATGGTGTTCGTAATGCGGTCCTGTACATGGATCGTCTTACCATGATTTAGATTGTGCATCTGTCATGTAGAGCCAGTTGACATACTTGCCCGACCTGCTAACTCTAGCTGCGATTCTGTAAATCTGAAACTGTCGAGGAGCGGTGAGATGGAAAATTCCATCTAGGAGTAGTGTAAACGTAGGTGTTTTCCTGTGATTGACTTTGACTCCATAACTGTTCCTGTGACATAACATTAAAATTTAGGCTGCTATGACGGAAATACTATATAGGCAAATATTACAACAAAAATATCGCTCGATATTTAGGTGTTCTACGTGCGTCTGGTCTAATTGCCTAGATATAGTCGAAATCACGAATGATTACGTCATCATTTTAGTCTATAGTAAAGACAAACGACATTGATTTGTGAATATTTTTAATGAAGTTTCAGATATGTTAGACAGAGACAAACAGAATTTTATTGTCTAAACAAACTGTATTGCTAATATGCATGTATCCGACAAAGATAGATGATGTTTTCATGTTGCACGATCGATCATACTTAAAAGATGAGTAGTTAGGTTATGTTAAAGCAGGTTAGGTTTTTTCGAATAATACTTTGGTCTTTGGTGTTTCTGACTTAAGGTATTCTAATCATAACTGTTTTTTTTTCAAAACTCCGCACTAAGATTAGTATTACTTAAAACCATGAAATAGAACGAAAATAAAAATGATCAGTGAAATAACCTAACTCCGCAAAATCATAATAAAAATTTGTTGTTATCATTCCTGACATGGTGATTTTATCATCGACGTACGTCCATTGATTACTTCAGTATAATTTATGGCATGACGTGATTCTGACTAGATCAGACAAAGTTGCTAATTCCTATAGAGTGCCTTGTTTATGGAACACATTTTTGGGTCTTCCTACTTCTACTTAGACAGTCCAAAAATCGGAGCAAAGCAAACCGATACTGTTTCCCAAGTATGGTAGTCACTGCAACTTGGCCTTCGCGGCTGCTTTTGCATAAAAACACATGCCTTCGTTCGAAGATTTTGATGCTTATACAATCGCAGACTTCTTAGAACGTCGGGTAAATTTGTTACAAAGACGTATGTGGCTGACTTAAGAAATATGACAACTGTCAAATCAGACAGTCACGTCACGGATGCGAAAACTCACTGTCACTGACTTGTCAAAATACGCTTAGATTTTATTTAGGATATCGTCAGTGATAAAACTGCTCTTTATAAATATATTTTTGGCTTTAAACGCAAAAACTTGAAGAAAAAGTGAAGTATGGCCGATCAGGTTGAACCGCCTCCTCTATTCGAAAACGTGAACATTACAGGAGAGGACAAAGAAGACGACGATCTTTTTGTGTCCGCCCATCAGGTATTTTAATCTATTGAATCTTCATCTGCCTATTATTATAACTAGATTAATTGATCAGGAGGCTGCGTCACAATCCGAAGGAAAGCCAGCGGAATTACTTAACGGAGAATCTCATTCGCCTAGCGAGCCCGTCGCTACCCCTAGAGCTGAGATGGAAAACATCCCCATCAACAACGGTTCATCTCGTCCTGCTAGTATGGACCAGGTAAACACAAAATCCACTTTGAGTAGTAGAATGGATGCTGCAAGTTGTGTCCACTATATGGTAGATGCTGAAGTTTTGACATTTCTGGAATATAATATATAAGTTTTTAACATACATTTAGAAAAAAACAAAATTTTTCATCACTATCATTTGAACAACATTATTTTTATGTCTTTAAAATCCCTGTCTTTCTTCTTCTTCTATCTTTGAAGGCTAGTAAAGAAGACTGTTTCCCTAAAAAACTCGTTTATAAATTTTTTTCGGTAATTTCTTTTCACGTCTGCTTTCATTTTATTTTTCTCAAATTCAGGCAGATCGAAACAATCACGAGGGTGGTGATGATTTCATCGAAATCAGCATAACAGAACCGCAGAAAGTTGGAGATGGCATGGGCGCGTACATGGCATACAGAGTTACGACCCGTACAAACATGCCCGTCTTCAAAAAACGAGAATTTGCGGTGACGCGCAGGTTCAGCGACTTTTTGGGTTTGCACGACAAACTGACAGAAAAGTATTTGAAAGTTGGAAGGATTATACCTCCAGCGCCAGAAAAAAGCGTCATAGGTACAGTATTTTAGCTTATAGATAAGATTATCTGAAAATGGTCGCATGCTGAATTTATTTTACCCCTGTGTTTTAGGAACGACGAAAATAAAGATATCTGGGCAGAATGAAGGGCAGTCTAGCAATGGAAATGAGTTTGTTGAAAAGAGAAGAGCTGCTTTGGAGAGGTATTTGAAAAGAACTGCTCAACATCCGGTACTGGCGTTGGACCCTGATTTTAGAGAATTTCTCGAATGTGGTAAGTGGTAAAATCTGAACTGCTAATCTTTCATCTGTTTATTGTTAATGATATAAGTAGCAATATTCATTGTGAAACATTTATATTTGTCAATGTACTGAGTTGGAAAGATTGGTGTCGATTGAATAAACTGCATCTTAATATTGCTAAATGCAAAGAAACAATAAAGAGTAATTTGCCCTTATAACCTCGGAGGAAATGTAATCAGTCACATGAAATGGTTTTCGATTTAGGAGTGACATTTGACAGTAGGATGAATTTTGACTATCACATTAGCCAAATTGCAAATAGTGCTAATAGAGCTTTAGGTTTCATTGTTAGAAACTGAACTGTTATATAAACTAAATCTATCTTGTTCAAAATTTCTCAAATATCTGGTTTTTAATATTGATTCAGTTTATCCTTAGCGCGAGTCTGACTACCAAGTTTTGTTGGGAGGGTTCCAAGTTGCCTCCTTAAGTGAGATAAAATAATCCCATCTTCTTATATAAACTTTTACATGGTATTGTTGATATTTTAGACCTGTTATCCCAGCTCCAAATACCAACTTAGCTTTAAAATCTCCTGTGCATGAACTTCAACAGAATGATGAAGAAATTTATGTTTTCTCTTCCACAACTCAAGAGGGTTTTATGGCAGCACTTTGGACATCTTATATTAATCTTTGTTTAATCTCTTAAATTTGAACAAATTAGTGTTGTGTTATGTCAGATTTCGAATTTCTGTCTTACAAATGGAATTATAAAAAGTCGGTTGGGCAATAAATATTATTTGGAGTGGGCGATTCCAAACTGATCGCGTTGCCGTCACTTTAGAACGCCTTATTTTTGAGTAGATGCGCTGAGTCTGGTTACAATTGCTATAGTCAACGCCAAACAAAGTGGCGTGCACGTCATCAAGGTGGGTGTGTTGAAAAATTTACATTGTTGCCAAACTTTTTGTAAAATAATAAAATTTATTATTTACTTATCTAGGTTTATAAGCAATATTAACCTCAAATGAGAACAAAAATAATAGTATAATAAAATTATAGATCTGTACTTGCATAATCATTAAGTATGACAATTATTGATCAGATGACACTATGAAACTACCATATTTAATTGATAGCTTAAAGGTACTGAATAAAAATCCAAATGGGGTCCTCCAAATTTTATGCATGGTATTTATTTTACAGAATTCATACAGAAAAATGCATTCTAAAATTAGGTAAGCTACTGGTGTAAGCTTTTTCTGTACAATAAAGTTAGTCGGAGTTTCTTTCTTCAGCGCTGTCTGAATCTGAATCTTCATCACTCTCAAAGTTGATTATTAAAGGTTCGATGTCTGGTCGATCAAAAATTCGTTCTCTTTCATACCATTTAAAAATTTCTTGCTCAGTATGTCGAACACTATTTTTCCACATGTCTGGGGTAACCGTTTGTAGAGCCTCGTTCCACATATCCAAACAGTCTTTTTCACTGTTACCATCTCTACCAATATGTCTGTTATAGTAACCTTTTGCTATGCCCCAAATTAACTCAATAGGGTTAAATATACAATGGTAAGGAGGCAGACGAAGAACTTTGTGCCCATGTTGTTCCGCCAATTCATCAATCACGTATATTTTAGGTGGTTTGTTTCTAAAAAAGCAGTTATTTTAAGAATAGGAATAAACAAAAGAAATATAAACTGTCGACCAAAATATATATAATTAAGAAGCATTATGTACCGAGCAACAATACTCAATAGCTCTGTTTTAAACATTGTGTTTAAAAATGGTATGTTTTGATTTGTCAACCAGTCTTGGATATTTTTTTTGTCCATGCATTGTTGGGCACTTTGTTCAATATCATGCTGTGATAAGGGGCGTTATCCAGTATAATCATAGATGGACTCTCCAATTTTTCTAATAACTGATGTTGAAACCATTTCAAAAAATTGTCCTGGTTCATCTCTCTATGGTAATCGCTCAATTTTGTTTTCGAAGAAAATATCGCTTCACTACCCTCAATAAACCCATTTTCATTTCCAGCATGTAATATAATGTATCTAAAATATATTAGTTTTAAATTTTATAGTGCAAATTGTGTAAAAGTACATACCTTTTACCATCTGTTTTAATAGCTTTCACGCTTTTTTGGTTTCCATTTTGCCAAGAGCGACCTATGGTCCCATTTTGAAATATCCAAGTTTCATCGAGGAAGACAAACTGGTATAAGGCCTCAACCTTGGCTTGATTGTATTGCCTTAGAAATTCCACCCTTTTCAAAGCTATACTTGGTAGTCCCATGAGCCCTCGTCGCGGATTGTCCTTAAGCCACTTAAATCCAAGATCTCTAAGCAACCGCCTTAAAGACGTGGCACTACCATCAAATAATGCCCTATCTCTTAATCGAGACCATAAAGTTTGTATCGTAACTTGTTCTTCTGAAACCATGTGTAATATGACATTATAATTTAGTTAACAAATTAATGAAAATTTCTGATAAGTTATTATAATAAGATCTTACTTTTGTGATACATATTATAGATCACTTCTCGAATGGCACTTGTATCCAATGTCGCTGTGTTGGTTACACGTTTAATATAACTCCGCTTTTTCTTGGGCGATTCTAAATTTGCATCACTTTTCACACCCTCGGAAATACGACTAACTGTCCTTAAACTAATTTTTAAAGCAGCAGCAACACGCTACAAAAAATGAAATAAAATTTCACTATTATTAATATACATTACAAATAATTATTAGTAACCTACCTCTTGAACAGCATTTAAAGGCCCGTTGTTGTCCCTTTCTTGCTCAAAGTAGTGCATTAACGAGGCCACGAGTTCCTTACACCGACTATTTAACTGTTTGGGCATCTTTATATACCAAAATTGCCTTTATCTACTCGTAAAATGAATAATTTTGTTTTGAAACAAACAGTTGTTGATTTACAGTATGCGGGGCCAAAGGATTTATAAAGATTTGAAATGCCACAAATTGATTCAGTGTCAAAATTAATACAAATGTCAGTTCCCAGTTTAAATAAGTTTCACGGTGACAATGTGTCAACGCTGCGAAATCGGTTTAGTGCGTTTACATGTCGATAAGTGATTGGAGCGTTTGCAAAACATTTTATTTCGCATAATGTGTCTAAATTTATCAGAAAGCAACTTATGTGATATTTTAATAACAATGTTTATATGACTATTAACCATAATAAGAGAGTAATGACCATTTTACAATTTATATATCACATTAATATGAAACTGCAATAGAGCAATTGTTTGTGATAGAAACCTAGGCATTAGGTCGGGGAATTTTTATCGTGATGACGTGCACGCCACTTTGTTTGGCGTTGACTATACTTGCTTTTCAATTTGTTATTTATTTTGTTCTAGATATTGAATTGCCAAAGGCGACTAACACGTCAGCTCTGAGTGGCGCTGGCGTCATGAGATTATTCAACAAAGTAGGAGAAACAGTCAACAAAATCACATACAGAATGGATGAAACAGATCCGGTAACTGTTCAATATATGGTTTATACAGTATTTTACTATAAGTGCTCAACAACCCAAGCATCACACGATCATCAACAAAGCTTCTGGTCCAGACTCAATTCCAGCTGCTGTACTGAAGATATGTACAGCAAAGTTTACTTACTACGCGGCTGATTCTTTATAAACAACTGATATAATTAAAATAATGTGGCGCTAATCTCAACCTCGATTTTCAGTGGTTTGAAGACAAGCTGGCTCACATAGAAGCCTTGGAAACTCAGCTGCGTAAGCTGCACACAAACGTGGAAGCGATGGTCACATACAGGAGAGAACTGGCACAGTATACAAATGGTGTAGCTCGATCGGCTGCAATGCTGAGCGCATGTGAAGATCACAACTCCCTGTCACGTGCTTTGAATCAACTGGCTGATACAGAGGAAAAGGTACTTGTAGCTCGTTTTCAAATCGTATTTTGCTGTTTGTTTGTCGAATTTATAACACTTGTAACTAATTTATGACAAATGTATTGCAGGGATGTTGGCGACTTTTACGTTCCATCCACTTTTGAAAATATTCACTTTTTTCGCTCTCGCTGTACGTACTGTAGCATATGAACGTATTTGAAGGAGCTGTTCTCGTTCTCTCAAGCCCCATGGAATTAAATGAAGTGTTTTTTTTATAAAAATTAACTATGACAAAGTTGTTCATGTACAGGGTTCTCCTTAAGCTGAGCCAATATTTATACTTAATGACATATAAAATGCAACACCTACTAGGAGTGTTGTAATTTTGAGTATACTTTTATATGCTTCAGGTCTACTGATAAAAAGAAAAAGTTATTGAAATTTCGCAAAATAGTCACCTTAATAATAATAATTTATTGGTACTAATACACAAAAAATGTGTTTGCACAGGTCAGTTAGAGTAGAACATAGAGTAATTAAAAACAACAGACAATACGAAAATAAGACAAACGTAAAACACAAAGTGGCAATAAAAGGTAAAAAAAACTTGATAAAACCTAGTTTAAAATGTAGATGAACAATAAAATAAGATGGTTAAAAAGTTATGAAATAGTAATAGTTTTACTAAATACTAAAATATCAAATACACAAAAAACACAAACGAAAACAAAGTAATAAAACAAATAGTCAACAATTATGGAACAAAGTCGGTAAAAAGTTTTAGTCACTAGATATCTTTTCACAGTTGCTTTAAAAATGGTTGAGTTGAGTATTTGACAAAACCTGGGCAGCGCATTAAAAAATTTCACGCCGTAATAATTACTTCCCTGTCTAGTTTTTGATAGTCTTGTGTACTCTGGTATTAATTCATTGTTGAACCTTGTGTTATATTTGTGAATCTCTTTCGGAGTTCTGTAATCATCGTAATTATTTTTAACGTGGATCAGACATTCCAGTATATACAGGGTGTCCCAGAAGTCGACGTCAAGCCGAAACCGGGTGATAGGCAAAGTCATAACACCTATCAGAAAAATATTTAAAAAAATTTTATGTATGTGTTTTGAAAATTATAGGTCTTTGAAAAAAATATAGAAATTTCACACCCTACGGCAGTCTGAACTTTTCTCGTTCAGGAAAAATTCCCACTTATTTCCCAACCACGTATTCCAAAGTAAAACTTTGCTCAACTTTAACTGGCTGTACTGGAAAAAAATGTACTACGAGAGTTTGGCAAGTAACCTTAAAAGTTGGCGCATTTACTAAGGATTCCAAAATGGCATAACACTTAGAAGATTACTCGTTAACTTATGCACAATTTTTATTTGAAGAAAAACTGATGAAGATTTTTCAAAATTTCCTAATTAAACAGCAATTATGAAAACGCACAAGGACCCTTAAGGATAACTGTTTGCACAACAGTGGGCGTCAAAATGCTGCTGATGATAATTTACCTTTACAGCAAATCCTCAAACTGTTTTCCTTCAGCCGCAATACACGCTCGACATCTTAAAAAAGATCGGGTTATTAAACGAGCGAATCCACGGTTATTAACAAACTCAGCTGCTTCCAATAGTCTTTGCCGTAGCTCAGCTATATTTTGAATCGGCTTGAAGTACATTTTTTCTTTTACAGTTCCCCAATAAAAAAAATCTAACGGATTCAAATCTGGTGACCAGGCTGGCCACGGTATTGTACCAGACCGCCCTATCCATCTGCCTGGAAAGTTTTGATCGAGGTACTCTCTCACTGAGAGTGCATAGTGCGCTGGGCAGCCATCATGCTGAAACCACATGTCCCTGTAAATACTCAGTGGCACGTCCTCCAATAAATTTTCTAAATGATTTTGCAAAAAATCCAAATAAACCTCAGCAGTCAAAGTCTCTGGGAACTCAAACGGACCGATTATTTTACCATTTAAAATTCCTGTCCAATGGTTTATCTTGAAGCGATATTGAGATTTATCTTCTCTCATCAGATGTAGGTCTGCTACGTGTCACTCGTGTAAGTTATGCAGGTTCATGTAACCATCTTTCTGTGTTTTGCCACCAACTCAAGTTCATCAACCTTGTTTCTCGAGCACTGTACGTTAAAATGTAAAAGTTTATACCGACAATCATTCCTGTTCACTTCTAATAATGTTAGTAATACGTTGAAGCTGCTCTGTTTGCTACACATTCGTCAAGTCCCGCGGCATTGATTGGATTAGGTGATTGATATCTTCTTGGTGTATTGTATTTCATGCCATCTGAATTTGGATTCATAGAACCTCCAATTTTCGTGGAGGTTGCGGTGAATCTTGCGATCGTCCCATACATGTCCGATGGGGGAAAGGTCCGGAGATCGGCAAGGCCACTAAAGCAGATTTACTCCTGCTGAAAAAGTGGATCGTGTATTTTTTTACTCTAATGTGATCAATTTGTTTCAGGTTGAAGCTCTGCATTTAGAGCAAGCCAACACGGATTTCTTCATACTGTGCGAATTGCTGAAAGATTATCTGGGACTGTTAGGATCCGTTCGAGATGCTTTTCACGAACGCACGAAGTTGTTCCAACATTGGCAACACTCGCAGCAAATGTTGGCTAAAAAGAGGGAGGCCAAGGCGAAAATGGAATTGACGAACAAGTCGGATAAGCTGGATCAGGCTTGTGCGGAAGTCATCGAGGTAAGCATCAAAATAAATTATAGTCTAAATGTAAAAACAACGGTCCAACAGCAAATCGCACTAAAATAGTGCAATATAAAGTCAAACAATCACTTATTTTAGAATAAGATCAATATAAAAATTAAGATAATAAAAAATTCAATTACAGTACAAAAAGCGTGGGGTGTTTGATATTTAACTGTTAGAATTTTTTTTCAGTAGCTGGAGTTATTATGAAAATATAGTTAATTGCACCCCAAAGTTTTTTATTATAACTTGTTGTTGTTGTTGAAGATCTATTTAGCATTGTTAATTTTGTATAATGATTCGGTAACATATTTTTCTTCAAGCCATTTTCTGTAATTTTATATTCTTGTCTATTAAAGTTAAAATTGAAATTAAAATTATGTCACTATGCATTTTGATTATTCATAAAGTGATTCTTTAATTTCACCTTAAACATTTTTAAATTCGAACTCTGTTTAATATCATTATTCAATTTATTAGATTCAAATACTCCCTTTTGGAACATAGATTTACTAGTTATGCTACTATTATAATTTTGCAGATGAAAATCTATACTGCTTCTAGTTTCGTAGTTATGATAATGACTATTTAATTTTGTGATGTTCTCTAAATGTGGTGGTAATAAATGATTTTTTAATTTGAATATGAAAACGAGCACTAAATAATATATGAAATTTTTCAAATCCAACCACTGCAGTTCTTCAAAATTAGACTTAATCCTAGCATATTTGTTTTTATGTAAAATGATTCTCATAGCTTTATTTTGTAGAATTTGTAGTTTTGAAAATATGTTTTCATTTGCTGTAAACAAGATGGTTGAACAATATAAAAAAAATATAAAATCTTTTTCGATATTTTTGAAATAATGCATTCATAATGTTCGTGAAACAGTAGCTTACTATCCACACGTATACCAAGATATTTAAATGACTCGACTACTTCAATTTTTTCATCATTAATCATGAGCCTAATTGTATTATCACCTAAATGTTTCCCTATTGATATACATTTTGTTTTATTAGTGTTTAATTTAAGTTTATTGACATTTAACGAATTCATAATTTTTTCAATATCACTATTTAACAGTTCTAATGCAGTGTCCAAATTTTGTATAATGATTCAGTAACATATTTTTCTTCAAGCCATTTTCTGTAATTTTATATTCTTGTCTATTAAAGTTAAAATTGAAATTAAAATTATGTCACTATGCATTTTGATTATTCATAAAGTGATTCTTTAATTTCACCTTAAACATTTTTAAATTCGAACTCTGTTTAATATCATTATTCAATTTATTAGATTCAAATACTTCCTTTTGGAATATAGATTTACTAGTTATGCTACTATTATAATTTTGCAGATGAAAATCTATACTGCCTCTAGTTTCTTAGTTTTGATAATGACTATTTAATTTTGTGAGGTTCTCTAAATGTGGTGGTAATAAATGATTTTTTAATTTGAATATGAAAACGAGAACTAAATAATATATGAAATTTTTCACATCCAACCACTGCAGTTCTTCAAAATTAGACTTAATCCTAGCATATTTGTTTTTATGTAAAATGATTCTCATAGCTTTATTTTGTAGAATTTGTAGTTTTGAAAATATATTTTCATTTGCTGTAAACAAGATGGTTGAACAATATAAAAAAATATAAAATCTCTTCAATTTTTTCATCATTAATCATGAGCCTAATTGTATTATCACCTAAATGTTTCCCTATTGATATACATTTTGTTTTATTAGTGTTTAATTTAAGTTTATTGACATTTAACCAATTCATAATTTTTTCAATATCACTATTTAACAGTTCTAATGCAGTGTCCAAATGCTTAGGTGCTATATATTTGAGTGTATCGTCTGCAAATATTTGAATTTTGCAGTGTTCTAAAATGTCAGAGATATCATTTATATAAATAATAAATAGTAACGCCCCTGTGGCACCCCTACTGATATATTTTGAACACTTGTCGTAATATTTCCAACTTTAGTTTTTTGACTTCTATTTACTAAATAATTTTGTAGAACATGTAATACAGATCATTTAAAGCCATAGTGAGGCAATTTCATTAACAATTTTTCCCTATCTATAGTCTCAAATGCCCTTTTGAAGTCTAAAAATATTGTTACATGAATTACTTAATTTTCATTTCGACCTTAGTCATACTAGATTGTTGGAGTAACACAAAGTCTCCTATACTTGAAAATTATTATCTACTTTTTAGTTGGATTTGATAATAAAGTGTTTTTTTAGTTATATATATATATATATATATATATATATATATATATATATATATATATATATATATATATATTTCTGAATATTTAGTCCCAAAACGACAACAAAAGTGCTTCGATTTTCGGTATATTTTATATTGGACAATAAATCTGGATTTATTTATTCCTGTTCACGCACCATCTCCATTTCATATTCATTTTTCAAAATTTTCAATTTTTTCCTAATTTTTAAATCCAAATACATTTTCCAAACTAAACATATCCAATTTTTTTCAAACCTCCTAATTTTTTCAACATTCTCATTTTTTTTAATTTTCGAAATTTACCAAAATTTTTCCCATTTTTCAAATACAATTTTTTCTTAATTTTAAAATTCAAATTTTTAAATAATTTCCAAATTCGGTTTTTCTTCAAGATTATTGTAATGTCATCGGCGCTTGACCCCAATTTGTAAATCCAAATTTCTTTCCAAAATTCAAAATTTCCGATATTTTCAAAATTTCCAGTTTTATAAAATTTTGCTAAAATTTTGATATTTTGAAAATTATGTAAAATTTCCAAATCTTCAAATTATTAAATATTAAATTAAGACTCAAAGTGAATTTCTAAGTTCATTTTTATGTTCTACTACTGTCTTGGATTGCGTAATGTATGGTTGGCTATCTTTGGGTAGAAGATGTTCATTCAATAATAATAAATAACCACATTTTTTCAGTGGGAAGCAAAAGTAGAGAGAGGTCAAGAAAATTTCGATCGGATTTCACAGATGATTAAGAAGGAAGTGGATAGGTTTGAGAAGTGCAGGATTCACGATTTCAAAATAATGTTTATAAAATACTTTGAAAATCATTTGGAGCATCAGGCACAGGTATGTCGATTTGCAGTAACAATTTTGTAAAAGAATATCCTCATTTTATAGCACTTCTAATATTTGTATTTTGGAGGTCAATTATCTATTGATCTCCATTTTTATTTTTTATTTTTAAAAATTAATTACTATTGTTTGTATTCCAGCTTGTGAAATACTGGGAGAGCTTCTTACCTGAAGCAAGAGCGATTGCTTGACTAGAAGAGATCTGCAAAGAATAGCAGCATATACATTCCTATTGGAGGTTTCCCGAGTTCTAGAATGCTTGCCTGCGAATATGGGCCATCATATTTTATTACCGTTTTTTAGCATTATATTCTATCCTATCATGCATATGAAAAAGTTATTTTTCTATTATTTCATTCTTGAAAAACCAAAGCAAAGTTATATTATTCATTATATATTTTAAGTTTTACACATTTTTTTTTTTCATAAGAAAGCGTCGCGCGTTGAAAAAGCAGAAAAATAGCAGAATATATTTTTTTGAATACGTTTTATTTTTATTCCTCTCATTTTTCTGTAGCAGCTCTAGTTTTCGAGATATAAGTAATTTAATATTTTAAAAGGTTTAAAAAATGCTTAAAGATTCAAATTTGAATTTTGAAAAAAATTGAATTTTGAAATTTGGCAAAAATTGAATTTGACAAATTGGAAAATAATTTGAAGATTTGGAAATGTATTTTGAAAAAACTTTGGAAATTTTGAAAAACTTGGAAAATAGAAATTTCAAAAAATTTGGAAATAAATTTAGATTTATAGATATACCAAAAATCCAAGCCAAGTCTAAGAACCTAAAAAAATTTACGCCACTGGAAACACGTGGGTTTTGAGAAAAAAATGTAGTATAAACTTTTTCACTGGAAAAAAACTGTACATTTTGAATTGTACAGAGATTTCCACTTTGTTCACGCTAGAGACAACATTATTTTCTTTTCCGATGAAAAGAAATTTTGGTAAGTTTTGTCAGAAAAATTGAAAATTTTGAAAACTTGTTTTCTACAAAGAGGTAGAAAATAATTCTCAAGCTTAGGAGAGTTTGTGTTATTGCAATAGAAATTCCAACAGTGTATGACTAATGAATTTGGAATAAACTGAATATAAAAATTAGGATATAAGGATTTAATATTTTATAAAGTACAGAATATGGCATTTTCGACCCAAAAAAACAATATGAAAAAACGAAAGTATTAATACTTAAAAATTCAAATTTAAATTTAAAAAATATTAATTCTGAAATTTGGCAAAAAATTGAATGTGTCAATTTGGAAAATAATTTAAACACTTGATAAGATTGGAAAAAATTTGGGAAATTTGAAAAACTTTTGTAAATTTTGAAAAACTTTTGGAAAATAGAAATTTCAAAAAATTTGGAAATAAATTTAGATTTATAGATATACCAAAAATCCATAGCCAAGTCTAAGAACCTGAAAAAAATTACGGCACTGGAAACACGCGGGTTTTGAGAAAAAAATGTAGTATAAACTTTTTCACTGGAAAAAAACTGTACATTTTGAATTGTACAGAGATTTCCACTTTGTTCACGCTAGAGACGACATTATTTTCTTTTCCGATGAAAAGAAATTTTGGTAAGTTTTGTTAAAAAATTGAAAATTTTGAAAACTTATTTTCTACAAAGAGGTAGAAAATAATTCTCAAGCTTAGGAGAGTTTGTGTTATTGCAATAGAAATTCCAACAGTGTATGACTAATGAATTTGGAATAAACTGAATATAAAAATTAGGATATAAGGATTTAATATTTTAAAAAGTACAGAATATGGCATTTTCGACCCAAAAAAACAATATGAAAAAACGAAAATATTAATACTTAAAAATTCAAATTTAAATTTAAAAAATATTAATTCTGAAATTTGGCAAAAAATTGAATGTGTCAATTTGGAAAATAATTTAAACACTTGATAAGATTGGAAAAAATTTGGGAAATTTGAAAAACTTTTGTAAATTTTGAAAAACTTTTGGAAAATAGAAATTTCAAAAAATTTGGAAATAAATTTAGATTTATAGATATACCAAAAATCCATAGCCAAGTCTAAGAACCTGAAAAAAATTACGGCACTGGAAACACGCGGGTTTTGAGAAAAAAATGTAGTATAAACTTTTTCACTGGAAAAAAACTGTACATTTTGAATTGTACAGAGATTTCCACTTTGTTCACGCTAGAGACAACATTATTTTCTTTTCCGATGAAAAGAAATTTTGGTAAGTTTTGTCCAAAAAATTGAAAATTTTGAAAACTTATTTTCTACAAAGAGGTAGAAAATAATTCTCAAGCTTAGGAGAGTTTGTGTTATTGCAATAGAAATTCTAACAGTGTATGACTAATGAATTTGGAATAAACTGAATATAAAAATTAGGATATAAGGATTTAATATTTTAAAAAGTACAGAATATGGCATTTTCGACCCAAAAAAACAATATGAAAAAACGAAAATTTTAATACTTATAAATTCAAATTTAAATTTAAAAAAATTAATTCTGAAATTTGGCAAAAAATTGAATGTGTCAATTTGGAAAATAATTTAAACACTTGATAAAAAAATGTTGCTTTGAGACGAAAAATTCAGAAAATAGGGTTCAAGAACCTAAAAAAAAACACGTGGAAACGCGTAGGTTTTAAGAAAAAACTGCAGTACAAACTTTTTCACTGAAAAAAAAATGTGCACACTGATTTTTCACGCTGGAGACATTGCTTTCTTTTCCAATGAAAAGAAATTTTGGTAAGCTTGGTCCAAAAAATTGTAATGTTTTTTAAAAACTTACTACTAATTATGACTAATGCATTCGGAATCAACTGAATATAAAAATTAGGATATAAGGATTTAAAATTTTAAAAAGTACAGAATATGGCATTTTCGACCCAAAAAAACAATATGAAAAAACGAAAATACAAATTTAAATTTAAAAAAAATTAAGTTTGAAATTTGGCAAAAAATTGAATGTGTCAATTTGGAAAATAATTTAAAGGCTTGATAAGATTGAAAAAAATCTGGGAATTTTGAAAAACTTTTGGAAAGTAGAAATTAAAAAAAATGGAAGCAAATTTAAATTTTTTAAATATAACAAAAATGTTGCTTTGAGACGAAAAATTCAGAAAATAGAGTTCAATATAAAAATTAAGATATAAGGATTTAATATTTTAAAAAGTACAGAATATGGCATTTTCGACCCAAAAAAACAATATGAAAAAACGAAAATTCAAATTTAAATTTAAAAAAAATAATTTTGAAATTTTGCAAAAAATTGAATGTCAATTTGGAAAATAATTTGAAGGCTTGATAAGATTGAAAAAAATTTGGGAATTTTGAAAAACTTTTGGAAAATAGAAATTTAAAAAAAAAATTGTAAGTAAATTTAATTTTTTTAAATATAACAAAAATGTTGCTTTGAGACGAAAAATTCAGAAAATAGAGTTCAAGAACTTAAAAAAAACACGTGGAAACGCGTAGGTTTTAAGAAAAAACTGCAGTACAAACCTGTTCACTGAAAAAAAAATGATTTTTCACGCTAGAGACATTGCTTTCTTTTCCAATGAAAACAAATTTTGGTAAGCTTGGTCCAAAAAATTGTAATGTTTTTTGAAAACTTACTTACTACTAATTATGACTAATGCATTCGGAATCAACTGAATATAAAAATTAGGATATAAGGATTTAAAATTTTAAAAAGTAAAGAATATGGCATTTTCGACCCAAAAAAACAATATGAAAAAACGAAAATACAAATTTAAATTTAAAAAAAATTAAGTTTGAAATTTGGCAAAAAATTGAATGTGTCAATTTGGAAAATAATTTAAAGGCTTGATAAGATTGAAAAAAATCTGAGAATTTTGAAAAACTTTTGGAAAGTAGAAATTTAAAAAAAATTGGAAGCAAATTTAAATTTTTTAAATATAACAAAAATGTTGCTTTGAGACGAAAAATTCAGAAAATAGAGTTCAATATAAAAATTAAGATATAAGGATTTAATATTTTAAAAAGTACAGAATATGGCATTTTCGACCCAAAAAAACAATATGAAAAAACGAAAATTCAAATTTAAATTTAAAAAAAAATAATTTTGAAATTTGGCAAAAAATTGAATGTCAATTTGGAAAATAATTTGAAGGCTTGATAAGATTGAAAAAAATTTGGGAATTTTGAAAAACTTTTGGAAAATAGAAATTTAAAAAAAAATTGTAAGTAAATTTAATTTTTTTAAATATAACAAAAATGTTGCTTTGAGACGAAAAATTCAGAAAATAGAGTTCAAGAAGTTACAAAAAAAACACGTGGAAACGCGTAGGTTTTAAGAAAAAACTGCAGTATAAACTTTTTCACTGAAAAAAAATGTGCACACTGATTTTTCACTCTAGAGACATTGCTTTCTTTTCCAATGAAAACAAATTTTGGTAAGCTTGGTCCAAAAAATTGTAATGTTTTTTGAAAACTTACTTACTACTAATTATGACTAATGCATTCGGAATCAACTGAATATAAAAATTAGGATATAAGGATTTAAAATTTTAAAAAGTACAGAATATGGCATTTTCGACCCAAAAAAACAATATGAAAAAACGAAAATTCAAATTTAAATTTAAAAAGAAATAATTTTGAAATTTGGCAAAAAATTGAATGTCAATTTGGAAGATAATTTGAAGGCTTGATAAGATTGAAAAAAATTTGGGAATTTTGAAAAACTTTTGGAAAATAGAAATTTAAAAAAAATTGTAAGCAAATTTAATTTTTTTAAATATAACAAAAATGTTGCTTTGAGACGAAAAATTCAGAAAATAGAGTTCAAGAACTTAAAAAAAACACGTGGAAACGCGTAGGTTTTAAGAAAAAACTGCAGTATAAACTTTTTCACTGAAAAAAAATGTGCACACTGATTTTTCACTCTAGAGACATTGCTTTCTTTTCCAATGAAAACAAATTTTGGTAAGCTTGGTCCAAAAAATTGTAATGTTTTTTGAAAACTTACTTACTACTAATTATGACTAATGCATTTGGAATAAACCGAATATAAAAATTAGGATACAATAATTCCAATTTTGTTAAATTATTCTAACATATAATATCAACCATCCGACGATTTTAACTATAATTGATTTTTTTGTTAATATCTTAATTTTTATATTGATCTTATTTCAAATTAATTAGTCATAACTGATTGTTGAATTTTCTATTGCAGCAACACAAACTCATATTTAAACATTATTTTTCTACTTTTAGTTCGATTTGCTATTAAAGTATGTTTTTCAGTCTTATTTTAACTATAAGTAACTCATATTGTTTTTCAGGATGTATTATACATTTTGCGCTTTTTCAAAAATTAAATCGCTCATACCTCGAAAATTGGAGCTGTTATGAAAAAAGAAAGACATTTTTCTATCAGCATATCAAAATTCCAGTAATTACTTTCTCCGGCAAAAAAGAGGCTGTTATCCGTGTTATAATACAACAGTTCTATGTATAAAGTGTAATAAAAAAAAGTATAATTGCATCAATATTTCTTCCAGTCAACTTATATTGCTATAGATTATTGAGTCTCAAACGCTACTTGAGATTTGTTTGGAAAAAACCGCACTACTAGTAATTGCGAGGATGATAATTGTAGAACGACCTTGAATTAACATGTCGGATGACGTGTATTGTATATTGTATATATAAAAAGTCTTGCATAATTCTGTCGTGATCTGTAAAGTGAAGAAAAGTATGTCACTTTGCAGAATGATGCAAAAAAATGAATGATCCATAACAGGGCCATATAGATTAGGGGTTAAGTTGTGGTACCTTGTCTTAAGTACAGTCTGCGAAGACCAGATGTTCGCAAATTTTGGCCTGAAAAAACTCAAATCGCTATAAAATAAATCATTCTTCAAGGTCTTGTGAAGCATGGTTTTAACTTTAATCTAGATACTTGGCGACCTCAAAAATTATAATTTTCAACCGTATTTTTAAGCATCGAATATACTTGAGCGGTAACCGAGATCAAATTTGTTTAAACAATTTTCTTGCCCGGACACATTTTTTCAGGTTTTCCGAACAAAAAATACTTGAAAAAGAAGAACGTAATTTTACGATTGGTACGAATGGGTCCCAGCAAAAATCGGCATTCAAAATACGGCTTTTCTTTTTTTTTCTAGTGTACGTGCAAAATATTTTATCTACATAACAAATATCAGTGGATTAAATAATAGAAAACAACTTTTTTCTTTATTAAGTAATAAACAAAAAAATACAAAATGGGACACATTTGTCCCAAAAGTACGGAAAAAATTGATACAAATGTCCCGCTAGTAACAAAAATACTTATAGTTAAAAATGTAACTTGAACGAACATAATAAACTTCTAACATTAAGTGTGACAGGATTGGAAACAGTCAGTGCACAAAGGAAGCTTACATCCTGAACACATAGTTTTTGTTCTTTTTTCCACTTTTCGAGAAGTACATGAATGATATCTACGACGAGATTTTCCTAGAAACGGCAAATGATCTCCTACGTTTACGAGATTTAATGATGAACAGCGTTTTCTAACAACACCTGCTTTTCGTCGACTTGTGTTTATCAAATCTTTTGCTAGGTTTACTAGAAATGTAATAAACGGAACATCACGTTTATGAGCTTCTTTGAATAGTATCCATGCATTTGTTTTTCTCCACCATTTATGAGACTTCCAATAAATTTCGTATAAGCTAGACATTTGATCTGAAAGATCAACACCACCCATAAATCTATTATATGCTTTTATAGCTTCCGGACAGGGCACGCTAATTTTGGTTCCGACTTTTTGGCGTCTTTCTACAGATCCCGTTTCGTCTTTGTGACAGTTTGAAAGAATCAAAACCTCTTTAGAATCTTTCCATAGATGTGCCACCCTGATCACTAAATAATGTTTGGCAATCTCCTTTTCCCATTTTTTTCTTTTCAAACTGTGTATTTGACATACATGCCCCAACAGCAGCAAAATCTAAATTAGCAATTAAATTCACAGTCGTAAAAAACGATCAAAACACAACATCACATTTGGATCAGTTATAGAGCTGCATAACTTGTTTACCACTCTTTCCCCTAATGTTCCTTCTTTTTGCTCCTCGTCTTTCCCAGCATATATTTTCATATCATATACATAGATAATCGGTGGGAAGATATTGCTTTTTTGTCTTCTCTTGTACATTCAGCCATAAAAATAAACAAAACTAAAATACGTGTAACGTGCGCGGTAGGTACACTCTTTGAAGGAATAAATGAAGATCCGCTAGTGCTCCAGTGAATATTCTTCTTACTGATAACGTTAGGCTCTACCTCAATCTCCTCAAGTTCTGACGCTAAATTAGGCTGTACGCTAAGAACTACATCATCAGGCAAATCGTGTTTAGCTTCAAAGAAATACGGCCCAATCATACCGCTAGAGGATATGGCGCACCGAACAGTCACCTATGTAGCTGTTGTTGATGTTTCTCTTTTGGATTCAACATCCGTTCAGCACAAGATTTCCGTAATGCGTAATCGCTTTGTTTTCAAGCATAGCCTGATTGGATTTCATAAGGATGAAAACCCATTTTTTCCCTTCATTATGCCATGCAGTGTTGACCTAGCGATTCCCAAAGCAGCGGAATGCTTCCGTGCAGCACGCTGAGGATTTTGCAATATCTGAATCACTTACTGGACGCACATTTTCTTGGTGTGGGATCAGGAATCGGTTGACTACGAGTAGAGCCTGTTTCACGGAACATCTTAAACCATTTTTTCAATAGGTTCTTACTTGGTCGGCAAATGTTGTATCGTGTACAAAATTTCCGAAGGGCATGAATCACCACTCTCAAAATAGCAAAAGCACGTTGCGCTCCGGTCCAACGTTCCATTCTGACTATTTAACCCGCACGCCGAACGCGTCGATCAACACCTCTCCCCACTTCCTGGCGTATACGGTTACCGCGTAATTCAAATTTGAAGTGTGAATTTGCCCACTGGACACCCTGTATTTAAACCTTGCTTTACAAGACCCCAATGGTTATTTTGTGCTTATTTTAAAGCAATCTGGTAAAGTCAAAATTGCCGAACTATTGGTTTTCGCAGCCGGCACCTGTAATTTTTCACGTATGACGAGAAAAATTTGCAGCCAACTCTCATAGAATTATACTGATGTGTGTGCTAGGCTAGCTGTAATTATTATACATATAAACGCAATCAGTAGTAATCGACTTTTAAGCTTTACCATGAACTTATGGTTTTAAAAAATTCTCTAATAATGTTTATATACACTTATTTATCTTGAATATATATTTGATATTTGGATATTTAGTCTTTTTTTTTCATTATATGTATCTAGTTCTCGAATATTTTATCTGGTTCTCTTAAATTTAGCAATATTTTAAATAAAAGTCTTTGTATATTTACGTAAAAGAGGGTCATTGTCCAAATGTGAGATAATAAGCTGTACACTCGTATAAATCTTTGTTTTGTCATTCTAAAAGTGATCTTAAGATACCGTGTCTGCATCTTAAGTTTTAGGGTCACAAAAAACGGTTTTTTGCAAAGATCTCGCTTCTTAATGCTATTTACATACATTATGAATATTGTATGGAATACAATTACTATATCTACGACTTTTGCTTGACACATTTTTTCATGCAATCAAACGTTCTGGAGATGGAGGGTGGAGAGCACACAAGCAAGAACAAGCGTTAGTGCCGAAAAATGAGTCGTTGAAAAATATATAGCTAAGCATAATTAGCATTTTAATTTCTTACTGCGTTCATTAACCAAATAAATATACAGTAATGGACAAAAGTATATAGACAAATTAATATTGTGCTGTATTTCTTTTTTAACTTGTTTTATCAATACACCAACTTGTATACATAATACTCATGTATACATAAATAAATTCATTAGACTCTCCTCAATAAAAAATTAATTGAAAAAACTGGAACTATGAAGGTCAAAAATATATAGACAAAGCAAAACAATTATAGAAAAAAGAAGCAAGGTTCATTGCATTATTGAATACCAACCATGTTTGTGTTAATATTTTGTAGCATAACCATTATTATCAATCACCGCCTGGCATCGTCTCGGCATAGATTGTAGAAGTTTCTTGATATAAGATTCATCAATCTGTCTCCACTTTTGCTCTAAAGCGGCAAAAAGTTCATCCTTCTTTAAATAATTTTTATCTCGGATTTGCTTATCTAAGTATGTATTCCTATAGATTTTCAATGGGGCTTATATCGGGAGATTGTGAAGGCCATTTGAGAACTGGTATTTTTTCATCCAGAAAGAATTTCTCTACGAGATTTGAAGTGTGCTTCGGGTCATTATTTTGCTGGAAGATTGTGTTAAAAACTTAAAGTAAAAACCCATGTTAATTTATACATTTATTAATTGAATTTAAATTAAAACTACTCACAATAAAATTTTGTATCTGTTATGTGAAATATACGTAACATTAAATAAACAGGTGTCTTACCAATGTGCCCGCATTGAAAAAAAAATAAGAGGGATAAAATAAAAAAAAGTGAAAAATAATTAAAAAAAAAGTTTTTTACTTAAAATAGTACAATAAGCGAGTTTGTTTATTAATTATAACATATACGTATGTTCTACAATAATTTCACTGTTAGTTTGATTAAATTCCGCTTCTTATACGTTTAAGTTATCTAAAAATATATTTGATAAAGGAATTGCTTTTTCAATGGAGTAATCCTTCAAAACATGAAATATTGATTCACCTTGAGTGTTGGTTATCAAAGTTCTTGCGAAGAGCAGTTCTTCGTAGATTTCTTGATTCATAATAAAACGAACATATGCCAATAATAATGCTGCATTATCAGGTAAAGTTGATTCGTCCAGTTGTATAGAGAAATGGGTCGTTTGCAAATAATTACATAAGTAGCTTTCAATATCAGAACTCAATACGTCTTTCAACAGTATTGTTGCTTAAGGGAATTCTTTTAATGATATCAGATGCAGGTTTGTGTAAAACAGTTTTTAAAACCTCTTCAACGGCTGGCAAAATTAACGTCTCTCCGATAGTATGCGGTTTTCCTGATTTTGCTATAAGTAACGAGATATTGTAAGACGTCCGCAAACCATCATCATTTCTTTGTGACGTCGAAGCGAACATTCTGTCCAGTGTAGGTCTCTTCTGAAATTTATCTTTGAGTGTTTGAAAGTATTTCAAATCTTTCTCTGTTTTATCAGGGTGGCATCTTCTCAGATGATCTTGCAGTTTAGATGGTTTCATAGCGTCATTGCCCAAAACTTTGTTGCATAAAAGGCACATAGGCGATTGTTTGTCCGGCAATGATGGAATGAAGCCAAATTTCAAATAATCAACACTGTACTGTCTACATTTCTTTTTAGATTCGGACATGGCATCAGTCATCTGTGGGCAAAATTAAATTATTTAAATAAGACAGAATATCCAGCAGCTGTATATAAAAATATTTTTTGATTTTTCGGAAAAACATTCCATAATTCGAACATCTTCTTGCAACAATTAGCTCGAATTACGGAGATTGCACTGTAATTATATTACCGATTGCTAAAACTTTCAAAAAGAAACTATTGAGGAGTACTCGTGTAATTTTGCATGATTGAATATTTAACTACTAATATCTAAAGTCATGATTGGCGTAATTTATCTATCTTTGCTAACTACGAGTACAAAACTAAAATTTAATAAAAAATAATTTACTTACTTTTCTCCAGCACTCTCAAACAAAATAACACTGACTCACTATAATTTGAGTGATATACTATCTGTGTCAATGATCTAACTGATCTAGCACTTAGTTTTCTAGGCCGACCACTTCTCTTAGAGGCTTCCAAGATACCTTTTTGCTTATATTTGTTCAATATTGCCCAAACTGCTTTACGCGGCAGCTTCAAATTTTTGGCAATGTCGGCTTGACGTTGACCATCTTTGTATAACTCAATGACCTTAGTTTTCACAGCGAAAGAAATTTCTGGACCACGCGGCATGGTCTTAAAATCACTCAACTTATTCCACAATACTTGATGAATACAAACTAATCCTCTTCTGACACGAAACTGTACTAAACTAATGTTGAAAAGAATGTGTCTACATATTTTTGTCCCTCATAAAAAAGTGCTTATATTCAGACTTGTATTGTGTTCATTGCAGATAATGTAAAAACAAGGAATTTAGTTTTTCTACTAATGACGCATTTGTTTATTTTGCAATGAAGTATGAGTTCGTTTTCTAAAGATATTTATGTAAATATCTATGTTTGTCTATACTTTTATCTATTACTGTATGTTCATATAAAGTATACGCTTATATAAACATTTGAAGAACCCAAATGAAGAATTGTGCCACCAACAAACTCATATATTTTATAGACACTCCATAGTAGTACATATCTGTGGTATAGCTTTGCAAAAAATATGGGACTACAGGGTGACTATGACTCAAAATTGAAAAAAAAATACAGAACCCAAAAGAAGACTTGTACCAACAAGAAAGTCACATATGTCGTATAGTATTACATATCTACCCTGTAATCCCCTGGTTTTTCGCAAAGCTATATTCTAGATATGTAATTCTATAGTGCCTTTTATCATGCATAATGAGTTTGTTGGTGGCACACGTCTTCGTTCGGGTTCTGCAACTTTTTAATTGTCTGACATAAGTTGTACAGAATTTTATTCTGAACAATATTCATGATGAGTGCAAATAGCATTAAACCCATAGCAAGTGATGTCTTTGATTTTTGTGACCTTTGACGCGGACACGATATTTTACGAGACTTTTCTTTCAAATTTTTGGGACAGCTTTAAGAATGGCAAAATAAAAGTCTATACAAGTTTACAGCTTATTATCTCTCATTCCGAGGTTGACCCTCTTTTATGGCTTATATAATTGGAGTTTGTTTCTTAATTTGATTACTAATGTTATCGTACATATCGCATCGATAAAAAACGTAACTTTGATAAATTATATAAAGGTACAAAAAGTAGGATCTATCACATTAAGGGTTTTATAAGATGTTGTAGGGAAGTACCGGGTAAAAACCGGTAGTTTTAACCTTCGATCGAATGAAAAGTATCAGTTCCAGTTATTTTCTGGAAAACTGAATCAATGTGCATTGCTTGTAGCGGCTTGACATTAGCTCGTATTTTCAATGGAACCATGCTTCTGCGAAATTTTATTTGACCAATGATTGTAGTATTTCAAAATATACCTGTATAAGTGATCTTTGTTTGAATTTTGGAATAGTGTAATGAGAAACTCAATGGAAGATATCCATTGATTTAGTTTGCTGAAACAACTTTATCACCTAAGCTCAAGACAACAGGAGATTTAACTGTGATTTCTAGACAAAAATTAGAAACATACGAGCCTCTTCCCACTTCAGTTGGCCACTTCAAGATTTTTACCAAAATATGCCTTTATAAACTAAACATGACGAAACTATTTACTTCTAAAACATTTTAGATACACTCTAGTCGTAAAAAATACATATTTGAAATCACTTAGACCTATAACTAATAGAACATCTAAACAAATAAACAATGTGCGAATAAATGCGCGAAGTTAACAAAGCAACAATTGAAAGATTACCATTGGGTAACATCACCTTTATTTTTTATTACGGCTGAAATTGTTTGGGGCATAGTATTAACCAAGTTTTGGCAAAAATTTGGTGTAAAACAATCCCATATTTCTTGAAGCTTTTGTCTCAGTTCGGTGATTGTACGAGCAGGATGTTTTTCATCTCGTGCCACAAAGTTTCAATAGGTGACAGATCTGGACTGCTAGAAACCCATTTCAAAAGTGGTACATTATTTTCTTCCATCCATTTTATAGCCTTTTTGAGGTATGGCACGCTGCACCATCTTGCTGAAAGACAAAATCTTGGCCGGATGTCAAACATTCTCCCATCACTGGTAAAAGCGATTCTTCTAAAATTGCCAAATATTTGTTTGTATCCACATTTCCATCAATAAAATGAAGTTTTCCTACTCCTTTTGATCACATACTGCCCCAGACCATAATGGATGCTGGAAATTTCACTTTTCTCTTCAGACAGTCAACATGGAATGCTTAATTTTTGTTGAGAATAACTCTACTGCGACTGTCACCAACACAAACTTATTTTGCATTGAAATGAAAACAGGTTGATATGCTGTAATTGCAACATGTGTTATTTTTTGATTAGGGAGTAATAAAGTTGGTGTTTTCTACGATATATTATCAAAATATTCATTGTTAATATTTTAAACCAATAACTCATTTTTATTATTTGTGTTTGATAAGAAAAAAACTAAGATTTCAATAGTTGGGCCAACCGAAGTGGGAAGGGGCTCGTAGTGAGTACGTCTAGCAGGAGTAGAATATTGGTAAAAAGCTGAATCTGGGAAACCATGTTTTTAATATACTCTCCATCGGTCAGTATTATCAGTGAATGTTTAAGAGAATACGAAAATGTATTACTTTGTTTATATTTAATAAAGTTATATATTTTACGCTGTTTTTTTTATCAATTGAGCGAATGAGATCCTCTCCCTCTTCCATTTTCAGTGCCTATATTTTGGTTGGTGCCATAGAAAAACTAGCGTCGAGTAGGTTGACTCTGCACTTTCTACACAACGTCATCAATTCGTTAAGGATACGCTCAGCTCAATTGAAATCCTCTGAGAAAAAGTCAGTTACAAACATGGAAAACAGAAATTAAAAGAATCAAGTCTGTCAAACGGGCTCATAAAATGCTTTCCTTGCGCTGTCCATCTGGTAACGTTGTTTGTAGCTTTTTTGTTGGACCTTTTTGATAAATAGTAAAACGTAATACCTCATTTTCGATTTTTTTTCGCAATTACAATATCTTCTTCCTCGCCAGTGGCACAGGACGTAAAATTGAGTTTTGATGTCAATCTCTCATGAACCTTTTATCAATGTGACTCAACTTATTTTAATATAAATAAAATATGGCATATCTTTAAACCTAAACAAAATAACCCGATTGCCAAAAAATCAAGTCGAAATTATTTTTTCCGAAAATGGAATAAAAAATAGGGTGTGCTATTAAAAAAAAAGAACTTGATGCTCACTCAGGCAAAAGGAACGTCACGTATGTGTGAAAATACAATAAAATAAACCCTTAAACCAACTTTTGTATTCAACATTTTCTTGTATAATTATTGGTTTATGATATAAAGTGACTGAACATGTTGGTCAATCCAATATTTATTCAACATAGAAAATTACATAGTGATTTTAATAATCTAGCTATGAAGTTAAGTGTCTACTTAAAGTTTGTAAGATAGCCAAGGTAGAATTAAAATTATAGATATTACAACCTGTAATAAAGAAAAATCACATCCACATTTATACAATATTCTAAGCAACAGTTGGGAACAAATCATTTTTATTCAAATATCCAACGAATGGTAAAAATACAATGCGTCTTCTGCCGCTAGTTCTTGTTGCTCTTATTTGTCGACTGTGAGAATTCGCTGATACAGGTATAGTGTTGTTTGGTGTTATTTCGCTGCCAGTGAGCTTGGTTACATTTTTTTCCAGAAGCGGATGAGTATGACATGCTGCTATCATTAAAAGAAGAACCTGAAAAATGGAATATTATTTTATAATACGAGGGTTGTCTCAAAAATAAGGTTGCCAAAAATTGGCACCTCTCAGAATTATATACTAAGTGACATATAAATCCGAACACCCAGTTTAAATGGTTTTATTTTAATAAAAGTTGGTGAATGTATTTATCTTACTGTAAATAACAAGTGAAAAAATGTTCAGCCTTATCAGTTGGACATTCCGGTTTTTATACTGCTTTTTTTTAATTCACTAACGCTCTAAAAGTGAATATTTCAGCCGCAGTAAAGAATCAACGTTGGCGGATTTTGGTTCTTGACATCCTTTACGATCGGTTACCATGCCTAGAGTACGGAGACCTGTACGATTTCGTCAACTTAGTGAGTTTGATAGGGGCCGTATGGTGGGACTTCGGGAAGCTGGACTTTCTTTTCGGGCAATTGCAGTTAGAGTGCAAAGAAGTGTAGACACTGTGGTTAGGTGTTGTCAGGCATGGCTTCGAGAAGGCCGTACGCAAAGAGCAAGGGGCACTGGACGCCGCCGTAGAACAACAGACCGTGAAGATCGCCGCCTAAGATTATTGGCCTTAAGGGACCGTTTCTCCACTACCAGGTCCAACTCGAGAACACCGACGTAATCGCCTTGAGTGGTGCAGACAACGGTCACTCTGGGATCAGGAATGGAACAGTATTGTCTTTAGTGACGAGTCTCGATTTTGTTTAGGCATGCACGATGGTCGTGCCAGGGTTAGAAGGCGACGTGGTGAAAGGAGGAATCCACAGTTTTTTGTTGAAAGACATGTTCATCACACTGTTGGAGTTATGGTTTGGGGTGCTATAGCTTATGGTTCCAGGTCACCTTTAATCTTCATCAGAGGTAACATGAACGCGCAGCGTTATATCCACGAAGTTCTAGAACCCCATCTTTTACCCTATCTTGACACCCTGGCAGATCCAACTTTCCAACAAGATAATGCCCGACCACATGTTGCAAGAGTCACAATAGACTTCTTTCAACATAATGATGTCACATTGTTACCATGGCCACCAAGATCTCCCGACTTATCCCCAATTGAGCACGTGTGGGATATGATGGATAGGAGATTGCTCAATTTGCAACGTCCTCCTCAGACTCTAGAAGCACTTCGAGAGGAGTTGGTGGTTGCCTGGAATGAGATACCACAGGAGGACATTGACCACCTGATCAGAAGCATGCCTAGGCGCGTTGGAGAATGCGTAGCACATCAGGGTGCATCCACACATTATTAAAGATCAAAGGGCTTTAAAGCAGTGCAATCATTTTGAAATTTTTATCATTTACTTATTATGCTTTATTAAGTACTTATACAAAATTTTATTAAAATAAAACCATTTAAACTGGGTGTTCGGATTTATATGTCACTTAGTATATTCACGTGCATATTATTACGGGGATTAAAAATTCAACAATAGAACTTTTTCACTGATGCCAAAGATGCGACATTTGCAACTCCGCACCTCCTACAAACCCAATTTTCAAATCGTCCATTTTTTTTAAATGATCAAGAACCTCTGAAATGACAAAAAATAAAGTTTGCACTGCCACCACTGGATCGATTTTAAGTCTTTTCGTCCTTGGCATAGTAGCAACCTGTTTGTATCAAAATTTCATCAAAATCCGTACGGTACTTTTTAAGTTATAGAGAGGCTGATAAACAGTCATGCGGACGGGAATGAGTAACGTTTTCCGTCATAAGGTAAACTAAAAAAAATATTTTTTGAATTTTTCGCAAAAGCTTGAGTATTTGGCATTGAAAGCGAAACTAATATATACTTGTACTTACCACTAGCAATATGTTATTCATAATAGCTACTAATCTAATGATACATGTACACTAAGACGCTCTGCTGCTAAACCCTTTTCAAAATGTATCCTAAATGCGTCTCATTTAGCATTTTATAGCAAATTCGTATATCTGTGTAATTATCCATTTAGAGCTTCGAAAAATAAGGAAATCCGATGACATTGGTCGCATTTTATTTACTCGAAAAATTAAGTTATTGATTTGCTTTGTTTCTAGAAATATCCAACGCATCGTTGAATCATTCAGAAATACCCACAGAATTTTGAAAACAACTACAATGTCATCGTAATTAGTACACTGATTTGATTAGAACTTTGAATGTATCTTACGAAACTGACTGGCTTTCAAACGTTTCTGTACCTAAAATTAACAATCCTTTGACTTTTCTGACTTGCGACCTATTGTCAGTTATTTCAAAAATTTTTAAGAAAGCTGGAAAGGACCTAGTTTTGGAATATGTCGAGGGAAACAATATATTGCTGGGATTTTCGCAAGCATTACAGCACTACCTCTTCTTCATCAAACATTTGTAATACTATCTTCAGAGCTGTATACAAAAAGTTAGGTGCAGTTCTTGCGTCCATTGATTACTCTAAAGCTTTCGATAAAATCAAATACAATTTGTTGCTTGCCAATCTAAGGTTCTAAGACTTCGATCAAAAAGCGAATAGTTTTTTCAGAAGTTACCTCGAAAATCTTTCTCAATGTGTTTCTTTAAACATATCCAAAAATTCTAATTTTCAGAAAGTTACGTATGGACACCCCAAAGATCGGTCCTTGGGCCGCTACTTTCTCTTTTATATGTTGCTGACTTGCTAACAATTGTCAACAACCAGGAGATACAATCCTTTGCCGAGGATACGTAGCTCCTTCACTACTTTGATATACAGGGTTTGTCCGGAAAGTAATAGGACTGAGTCGATCTAAAAAATTTATTGAGTTATAATTCGTCATAACGTCATAACATAAATTGTACTGAAGAAATAAATGGACGTACGTCGATGATAAAATCACGATGTCATTTTGCGAAGTTAGGTTATTTCACTGATTATTTTTATTTTCATTTTATTTACCTTAATGATAATTTTAGTGGCGAGTTTTTGTTTTGAAAAAAACAGTTATGAGTAGAATACCTTAAGACAGGAACACCAAAGATCAAAGTATTATTCGAATACAACCTAACCTGCTTTAACATAACCTAACTATTCATCTTTCAAATATAACCGATCATGCAACATGAATACATCGTCTATCTTTGTCGGATACATGCAAATTAGCAATACAGTTTGTTTAGACAATAAAATTCTGTTTGTGTCTAACATATCTGAAACTTCATTAAAAATATTCAAAAATCGCTGTCGTTTGTCTTTACTACAGACTAAAATGATGACGCAACCGTCATCTTTCGTGACTTCGACTATACAGGGTGACTTTGAAGTTGAGTCATTAATTTTCAGATAATGATTGTAGAAGGAAGATAAACCAAAATATGTTTTTATTTCGTTTGAGCCACGCAACAGACACTATTCACACCCGACTGACACTGACTGTATGTATAACTGAACTGAATAACATAATTTGTGAAAACATCGTTCCAAATTCCTTCGCTTTTTTGTTTCCGATGCGATGAACCGATAAGGCGGATTATATCCGTTGTTGCCAAACACGAGCACATGATATTATTGAGACAGGGCGGTACTCAAACTTCCAAAGGGCTATAACTTTGTTACTTTAATTTTACCAGAAAAATGGTAAAGAAAAAAAACATTTCTTTTGATCAGATCTACTCACTGTTAAAATAAATGACTCAACTTCGAAGTCACCTAACAAAATTATCCTTAACTACAAATTGAAGAAAAAACTCTGGGAGTCACAGTCTAACCTACTGTAAAAAGTATTCAGTCGAACTCCAAATACTAAACACACAAATGTATTCGAATACCATCTAAATGTATTCTGAATATCAAAATACCGAATAGTCGAATACTACCCAAGTCTGTTAGGCATCAAGACCAGGTTTATTTTTTTTAAGGGAATCGCAATTTTTTTATTTCATTGCTATCTTTGTCCAATTCCGATCGATTATTGACAGAGAAATCTCCGAATAATAAAACAGTTTTTATCAAAAATTCATATGTCAAGCGTAAAAATTTATACGCTGACTTAAATATTTTGACTGCATTATTTGTTGATCGAGAGATTTCTCTCCGGTAACAATACGGAGACTGCGTTCTCAAAACATGAAATATTGGTCAGATAACGGCAAAGTGAACTTACAGATTTACTTTTACAATTACTATTTAAGCTCAGACGACTTAACGGTATTAATCATTAAACAGCAACAACACTAACGCTTTGCTTCTATTTTATAAGACACAGTCATGGTAAGAAGAGATAGATGTTTAAGAATATGCATTGCTTATTACATATTTCGAACGTTTTCAGGCATTTTACCCGATACTCATTTGCGTTGTAGCAAGTGTCTTATACTGTGAAGGTAGATATACCGAAAATGAGATCAAAAGAAACGTTGTAAACAATGGGTTATCGGTGAAAAATGTCGCAAATCCTGCCGTTGCAGGATTGATAGAAAATGCGATATCTAGGAATGGCAGACAGGCAATACACTTTAAGTTACCGTTGAAGCATAAAATGAAAGCAAAAAAAGTTAGAACCAGGTATGTACAAATTATGACATTTTTCTGTATCTTTAGTCTAATCATATATCAAATAATTGTAAAGTCTGGTGGTGCAAGTTGTTCAAGCGGCTATTTAAAACATGGACGCATAAAATGGATACACCAATTTTTGCGGGAAACGCCTGATTTACTTCCACGCACATGTGTCAATACGTGAGACGTGGTCCCCCGATAGACAAGCGTCGTCGTCGGTGGTGATACGTCACAGTCGGCAATCGCTTCCGCACTGCTGTGGGCAGTGGTAGATTCAGGAGGTTTCTTGAGGGTCGGAACCCGCTCGAAATATCCGAGTTAAAAAAATTGTAACGTGTCTTTAAATTTGCAGACGATCTTCAACCCTCCCGCTCTTCAATTTTCAATCGCCGATACCTCCCGAAACAGGCATCTTCCTGGTTGAAAATTCTGAGCCACCACCCGTCTCCCAAACCCCCAAAAACATTTCAAATTCATCAAAAAATTTTCTAGGTCCGCCCCTGGCTGTAGCCTGTGTGCCAAATTACGCTCTGGGGAAGTGGTAGAGGCATTTAATTTGTTGTTATACACTTTCGTAGCTAACTTTTTTTCTGGGAAGGGGTAACCTGTGCTTAACATGACACCGTTGCATCGGAGGTACAGAGTCAACCTACTTTTTTTACTTGCAGCAATTTTTTCAGTTGAACCCGAACTTAAAATATCTATGGACAATGAAAATCAGAAAAATACCCGTCAATATAAACTTATATTTACATTATCCTCTTTTTACAGGCAATTTGATTTGGAGAATGCTCAAAGGCGATATTCAACGTTGAACTCAAATCAGCCGATACGACGACCAGTTCAGCAGTTCTATTATACCAATAAAAGGCAAATCCCTTACGTGCCCAACAGAACGAGGATACAACCTCAAACAGCTAGGATACCCACAAAAAGTACTAGAAGGCCAACTGAAAAACGGAAGATGAAACCACCTAGAATTATGTTTTAAATTTAATTTATGATTGATATTTATTTATTATAATTTATATATACTTTAAAATAAATGATATACTGACAGAACAGACGTTTTTCAGTCTTCAGAGAATCTTTTAATGAATTTTATAGATGTTTTAATAACATGTAGCAAGCTCAGATATTTTTTCAAGACTTCATCTATACATATAAAATAAATATGTAGCTTACGATGCCCCCTGAAAAAGCTTTCTGTGTTCAACTTTCTCTCTTGCTTATTTTAATAGTCACAAGCTTCTCAGATATCTCTATTATTTCCTCTTCCTATTTTGCTTGATCATTTAGGATCCTAGCCACCTGTGATCATGGTTCCTTTCCCTATTTTCTACCAGATTTGGGTGATATTCGAATACTATTCTAAATGCATTTGTCTAGTATTCGAAAAATACTCGAATACATTTGTGCGTTTGGTTTTTGGTAGTCGACTGAATAGTTTTTTGGTCAGTACTCGGTATCATAGATTCATACCATTTCTGAATCCCAATATTCGAATACCCACTTTTCCGGTATTCGAATCTTGTGCTGAAATCCTCGTTCAGAATACTGTTTGGCTATTCTTATGAATATTGCATTAGGCATTCGCGGTGTTTGTGAATGATACAAACAAAATGGCTAAGCAAAGTGGTGCTTCTCAATTCGCGATGCCGACAGGCCGCTTAAGGAATGAGATTAGAGCAGTGCTGTCATTCTATTTGATAATGAATTTTATCTCCTGTTATAATTTGCGTGTGACACCAGATAAAATAGATATATAATGTTGTTTATTATTTTTTTTGTATGTCGCATCCAATATGTCTGTAAAACTTTGCATGTTATTGAAATGTAGTAATCATAACCTACAGGATGTTTTTTTTCTATTAAATATGTATTATGCATACCTGGTATCCCCAATTTCCCTTTTCATTATACAGGTAGAGAATTATTGTATGAATACATGGGTCATTAAAGTGCCATAATATATTCTGTACCTGACATTATAAATGTGCTTAAAACCAGTACCTTTGGAAGTATTAACAGTATTGGGTGAGTCACTAGTAATGGTCATTTAATCACCACCCTTTAAAATTACGAACTATATTAGAGGTATTTCCCATTCAGAATTCAGACGTGCCTAAAGACAAGACGCATACTTTTATATGACACAGTGTCTAAGATGTTCAAGCAGTGTAGTTTGATCGCACTATTTTTGGTAAGTACCTGTCACAATGTTATTATTTTTTTCATCACTCATATTTTCTTTATCATCTGAGAAATCTATGAAAGATTTATTAAGCTTGTTGCTGCCGTTGTGGTGTATCAAGCTTAAACGTCATTCGTGATCAAGGTCACACTCGGAAGTAATATTTCCTGCTTTTCCAATACTAGTAAAAAAATTAGAGGTGACCTTTGGAAAATTTGAGTCAAGGTTACCCTTAAACGTAATCCTCACAGCTGTGCTCAGAAACATTTTTGCGACAGCAAATTGTCTTGATTTGAACTTGGAATGACCTTGACAGCAGCGGCCAAGGCCCTCTTTTCATTCCGATATAAAAATGGCTTCAAGTGGTTTGACTCTATACTTCCTATGGCTTCGTTGGAGGTTTTAAAAAAAGGAATGAGTCATATCAGAATAAGTTCACTTAGGTTTCTTGATAACATAATGGCTTTCATTGACAAATATGCAACAACTTACAACAATTTACCGAATACAGCTTCCAACCTACATTTTTTATCCCCTCCAAACCATGTCTGAAAATCTCCGAAACGGTGTAACTCTACGTTCCAGTGACTACCTAGACGATGGAAGTATTAAACTCGCGATAATATTAGAAGTACTGAGTCAATCTACTTGACAAAATATTCAGAGAACCACAATAGACGGAACAACACAAGTTAAAGGTTAGGCGAACTGTGAATAAAGAATCAGAAACATAATATTTCGAAAAATATATGTGTCGATATTATAATATACATGTATAAATATTTTTCGTGTAGGGGTGTGTCAGTGACGAAATAAAATGTGTGGGTACTGTTTGAAAATTTTCTCTAGAGACCTTGGAATGTCCTTGTAGGACGTAGTCAAGGTCATTGACTGGGTCGCCATCATTTGGCTTCCTCTAAACATCTTCTAGAATGCGCGGTTTTCGAAATATTTGGGTGGGGCCCTAAGACTGAGCCCTGCGGTACTCTCATGGTTACCTTCATCGTCTTTTGTCCTACCATAAGTTGCCTCTCACTATGATTACTCTTTATCATGTTCAATAGATACCTAGGGGTGCCTAGCTTCTCGAGACATCCAACTATTTTCTGATATTATGCTGTCTCTTAACATCAAATGCAACCATATCGCAAAGCTTCTTACTACTGTAGCTTTCCCGTTTCACTAGCCTTTTTCATCTCAGATTTCAAGATCTCAAGAAGACATGTACATGTTTTTTTCGAATTCATTTGTAGCTAATATTGATAAATAACCTTTGTTTCAGGCTGCCATCTTGAATAATCACGTCGTCAAGACTCAACTCCTGAGCGTCGAAAATCCAGACGGGTCATATTCAATAGGGCACAGTTCCGTAGGTGCAGGTGGCACACCAGAATCTATAGCAGCTCTGCTGACCAAAGCAGCAGGATGGACAGAGACATCGCGTCACTATGGGCGGGCTCAAACCTTCACGTCTGAAGTATACTCGTCAAGGAGCCCGTTGGATGACTTGGTAGTGTTGTTCCACAACTCGATCGTCAGACTGTACAATAACTTCAGGGCGATACTCAGGAGAAATACGTATGCTGTCGATGTATTGAGCAAGGTGTTTGCAATTTTTTTTGAGTATGTTAGGTATATTGCTAGAGACATTTTCAGCAGAACTGATAGTAGGCTGAATAGTGATAAGAATTTTGTTCCGAAAAGGTATCGCCTTTATTAGTGCTTTATTGTATTTTTTATGTGAATTAGTAATAAAATTCAAGAGCCATACCGATGTATTTTATTATCCTATATAACACCATTCTGATTTAAAGTAATATTAAGAGCAGTTACGTAAATATAAGATGAAGTACCCCTTATTATCCTGAAACCAGTAACTTACTTCAGAAATAACTTCGGTGCATTTTTCTTTCAAGATGTAATTTGAATCACCAGATATTAGTATAGGTGCATCGTCTGCATACCTGAACGATGCCCCATCTTAATTCTCAACTTCATTTATTCGAGAAATGAATGAAATGGGTCCTAAGATTGATCCTTGGGGGACGCCAGCACCAACACGCAAGCCGCTAGGCAACGTAGTGCTTCTATCTCTTTCTAACGTATTGCACGCTCCTCTCTCGCTCACACCGTGACGTCATTGGTATATGGGTTTCTCTGTATGTGAGGTATGGGGGATTAAGTACCGGTATAGGATTTTTTGTCACGAAAAGCGATTTTAAGAGCCAAATAGAGTGTGATTAAAGATTGACAGGTCATTTCAAACTTATGAAACGACAATCCTTGGAGAAACCATTGACTATAAAATATTTTTTAAAATCCAAATCTTTATAATAACAATAGCTAGATTTTTTAAATTTTGTTTTTCAACGAATAACAACCGATCTTCAGACTGGTGCATACGATATATTCTTATTACGGGCTGTGTCCAAAAACATCTCCAACGACTACTCCATAAGACATACAGCTATGAGCCTCTTTAATAATACGTACAGTGCCTTTCACTCATATTTCGTTGCCTATGTTGATTGAATTTTCGAGCTAAGTGATACAAGTAGTCTTAAAATTGTATACTAAATATTATTACTCTGTCGACTGGCCTATTTGGTCGTTTCGTAACGAGAATATGGAAGTCCGGATAAAAATACCGGCCAAACGAATGCGCATGCGCACGACGACGACCTTAAAGTATCAGATGTCAAATAAATTTGGTTAGAAATTTAGCAAAAACAATTTTTTTATTTGATTTTCAGGAAAATACCATCACGTGTTAATGTAAACACCACATCCAAATTGTCATTCAAATACTTCAATGTGTTATCGGTATAACAATATTTGTTTAGATCTCAACCCGAATAAGAAATTCAAACAATTAACAATAAAGATAAATGTTGAACAGAAGCACCTGACGACCCGTCTGATAGTCAAACGAATGTAATCGTGAAATTCCACTCTTCACTATCGTAATTTTGTAATTTTATCAAGTACAATGACAGGGGATGGCAGGAACGTCTGCCCTTTGCTGAAAAATGCCGATTCATATAACCCGGACACGATCGATATCATCAATAGTGCCAAAGAGCGAAACTACTGGTTGCCTTGCATAGAAGTAATGGTCAAAAAGTTTATAGAGAAGGTGAAATATTTGTTACCGGACGATCCCGAGGCTAAGCAAAAGGCAGAACTATGTTATAACAAGTTTCATAATTTGTGTGAACAGCTTTTAGAAAATCCAAAGTAAGTATGTGAGTGAATAGTATGAATATGCCAGTGGTCGGACAGCGCAGCCAAAAATAGAATACCTACAAAGTCTAATTACCAATTTTTGTCCAAGATAACTAAGCTAATTGTGATAGTAGAATAGAAATTTCAAATCAGACGTCATTAAGACTGAGGAAAAGGAATTAAATAAACTCATACTGAATCCTTTTAATATAGATATTTCTACCATAAATGCGAACTACATAGAAATGAACAATACAATATATTACAAAGTGATGGCGTTATATACAGTTGTTTTATATATTACACTAAAATAAAACATGTATAGTTTATATATTTATATTTATATACCTAGATAACTTAATAGCTGCATGCACAAATCTTAAATAATGTGTAATGTAACATTTTAATAATGAAATAGTAAAATAAATAAAACAAAGTGAATCCAGCTCAAATAATTAATTGAAAATCTATATAATTATATAATTATTTTGTCTTTATAATGAGTGTTCTTCATTTTTCCAGAATTGTTCCTGATCTCAGCTTAAGAACACTATTTCAATATTACGAAGATAACCAAAGGCTTTACTTTGAGGATGCATGGAAACTTCAAAAAGAAAAAGAGTACAGCCATGCGTTACAAGGATTCAAAGATCGAATCGATTGTATAGATTCGATAGAAGATTTTGATACGAAATGGTTGGAATTGACAAAGGGCGTTTTGGCGGGAAACGTTTTCGACTGGGGCTCCAGAGCAGTGGCGGACATTTTGGAGCAAGAACACGATTTTGGGTTCAGTGACGCATTGAAGACGATCCAGAAGAGGCCATGGTTCATGGATAAACTGGATTTGTGGGTGGATAGATTAAAAGTAAGTGAACGCAAAGAACTTCAAACATGAAATATTTAATTAATATATATATTAATATTTCTTTTTTTATGTTACTTATATGTAATGTCACTAAAAACTATGTATGTAGATTCATAATTTGCAAAAATTCATATATTGTAGTTTGTCTAATTTTTTTCTTTAAAATGACGTCTTGAAATCCTGTTTCCAATTTAGAAAGAAGCTTTAAAGACTCTGTATCTTCCTGATTTTTGACAAAACTTTTGAGCTGCTTGGTCAGAGTAATAACGTTACCATAGTTTGGAATAGCTTCTGTTGGTACTGCAACCTCAGGGATATCAGAATTTTCGGAAAGTTCTTGTATCTCATCTGGAGTTTCAATTTCTTGGCCTGAATCTGGATCCTCAGCATACAAACTTTCGTCTAGGTTCAAAAAAGTCATATAGGTTTTCAGTCAATTTCAATAAACCCTTATTTTTGAGGATATCTGAAAGTACATTAAGTGGTAGGTCATCTTCTGGGTCAGGTGTATCAGCCTCATTTAACTGGTCTTCACTTCGCATATTTTCATGCGTAAACCCTGCTTTGCAGAAGCAATTTCACACCGTTCCTTTGGTTACTATATCTAGTAGTTGTATAATAAACTGGATCCAAAGATATAATTTTGTTTATTACCATGTACCATCAGTTTTTCAGTCTTTAATGTTCGAGTATTAGACTTCGGTACATATTAGATTTTGCTCTTTTTTTTTTCAGCAAGATCCGTACAAGACATGCGTGATCTTCGTGGATAACGCGGGGTACGATTTCGTACTAGGCATCTTGCCGATGACCAGGGAACTACTGTCTCACGGCACCAAAGTGATATTGGTTGCGAACAGCCTTCCAACTTTGAATGACGTCACGCATGAAGAGTTGAACGTATACTGCAGCAAAGCAGCACAGCACTGTGATATAATCAAGAATGCCCTGACAGAGGGCCAGTTACTTAAGATGGAGAACGGACAGAAGGGACCATGCTTGGATCTTAGAACTTTAACTCCAGGTACGACACAGTTTGAATGCAGCGTGGTAAAGTAGACGTCAACGATATTGTATTCGTTTACAATTTTTGCCGATAGTCATAAAACGGCTGTAAAACCGAGAACGGGAGGTCAGAGACGGATCTGAAAATTATCAAACGTTTTATCTTGCAAGTCTGGAGATCAGATCAATAGCAGAATGGATATATATCAGTGGATAGGTTTATTCAAATCGAGAAAGATTTATTAAGGTGAAAAGTGCGAATCTGCCATCTGTTTTGAGATATATGCTGTAGAAGATTTTAGGCTTTCAGTTTCTTCAGATTCTTGGGTTAAATCAACAGCTGTTAAAAATTTGTCTCTGATCAAATTTCCAACGTTTCAGTGTTTATTTTACTTCTTCCCCGCGGCTACAAGAAATGTGAAAAAATACATTTAAAAATACAAAATTGTAAATATAGCAATGAAGTGAAAAAAGTCAGTTTAAAAGATTCAGACTGGTATCTCTTATATAAATGAAAATATGAATCTTGTTTAAAAATGGTTAGCAGCTAACAAACCCAACCGTCAGGTTTTCTCCATACATGGATAGGTGCATTTTTAATTCTATTTCATACTACAGCAGACGCTCAATAATTTAAACTAATTTAATCCAAGTTTGGTTCACATTATCGAAATGTTTACATTAGCGAACGTGATTTATATAATATTTGATTTATTAAAAGAAACGTTTAATACATACTATTTATAACAAAATAAACAAATATTCTAACAACGATAAGTATTTTTTTAATTAGAAGAAAAATAATTAACAATTTTTGTCTGCGTAAATTTGCGCTTAGCATTGTATTCCAATGCCTGCGCCCGTAACTTACGAAGAACTAAAATATCCGTGTATGAAACTTCTTTTCTTTCAGCCCAATCTAAAGCTTGGTTAACAACTTGTATAGCTTGCGCGTCAGTCACTACACTTCTGACTTCAATGGGATCGTTCTCATCATCCTCACTGTCCATATCCTCCTCCTTATCAGCATCATTCGTCTGCTTATCTTCGTTCCATAAATTAATATCAGCAGGAGTACAAACAATGTTGGGATTCACTGTTTGCAATACATCAACAACATCCAATGCCACACTAATAACATTATCATTATTGGATCACAAACGTTCTCTAATTACGCTTAAGGGGACATCGTCTTCTTCATCATCTTCATTATTGGTACAAAAGAGATTGTTCCAACATTTTTGAATAGTTTGCTGGTTAAGTTCATTCCAGGCCATATGTAAATCTAAAACAGCTTCTCGTAATATTACTTTTTTTAAAGCCTCAGATAAGTTTTCAGGTTTCTTTGATAAGACAGACGAAAGTAGAAACTTCCTATAGTATAGTTTGGTGAGTCTTATTATATTCTGGTCCATCGGTTGAATTAACGGTGTTACGTTGGGCGGCATGTACATGACGAAAATTGACCCATCCCTGCTCTTCAGTAGTTGCTCGGGAGGATGACTTGGTGCATTATCCAATAGTAACAACGCTTTTATTGGAAGCGTCTGTTGTTTTAGGAAACCTTTTATCTACAAATTGAACACACATCTTCAAATTATGAATAGAGCATTTGTGATAATTGATTGTCATATCTGAGGGACAAAGCACCTGTGGAACCATTTCAGGAATATACTGCTAGTCATCCAAGCGGTTTTTGAACAGTCATAATCAACAGGGATATTAACATTTTTAAATGAGCGCGGATTTTTTACTTTCCCAATTACCAGTGGCTTTATTTTGTGTGAACCATTAGCATTAGTGCAGGCTAGAAACGTTATTCGTTGTTTCTCCGGCTTTCTTCCCGAGGCAGATTTTTCAAATGATGCAGCATAGGTTTTCTCTGGTAACATTTTCCAATAAAGGCCACTTTCATCTGCTTTGTAAATTTGTTCAATTCTTAAATCTAGCTCAGTAATTGTTTTCATCAATTTTTCTTTGAATGGTTGCACTAATTGTGGTTGTGCTGATAATTTTTCAGTTTTTCATTTAACAGTCTCGCTCTCCGTTTAAGTACTTCGCCACTAACTGGGACATGATTTTCCCGTTGTTTTAAAAACCACTTATACAGGGAATTTTCCATTTTATTTGCCTTCGCATTTTTTAAAGTTTTTCTTTTTCCCGAACCTCCAAATGTATTGCACGTTCTTTGTAAAATTTGAGTTTTCATACGCTGAATTTTACAGATTGTTGCTTTCGATACTCCATATTTTTTTGCTAACTGTGTCACTCCCGCACCTAGTGCAACTTCGTCTATGATTTTCACTTTCTCACTCAACTTTAAACACTTTCTTTTATAGGATGTGGATGCCATAGTCGTAAAATATATTAACGCGTGCAATGTATTCACTTAAGTTCAAAAATGAAATTCATACGTACGTATAAACGTATCCTAAACTATCATACGACTGACCGAGTTTGTCGCAGAGGTGAATCCCCTACACTGTACATCATAAATCGGGGACTCCCCGACGCCCGACATAAATCATCGAGGCTTCAGCATTTTACCGTCGCGCTGTTTCCGTGCGCCGAGAGTTGTTTACGTTATCGCGCGTTCCGTTTGATCCTATAGAACGAAGTTTGCGTTTACATTAGCGTAAGTTTTCATTATCCCGTGTTTACGTTATCGAGCGTCTGCTGTATTTGTATATTTATAAAGAATTTTGTGACGACTCATTAAAATGCATAGCTAGTCCGAGGATGTAGTGTTTTGTACGTGTAACTGTACTTTGATTATCAAACCTCTAATGCCTTTAGTTTTGTTAGCGTATCCAATTAAGACGATCTTTTTTTTTTCGGTTTATCAGAACTGTGCGAAGCGATGGAACCTGCAGACCTGTTGATCATAGAAGGAATGGGACGCGCGGTACATACAAATCTGCGCGCCAAGTTCACCGTAGACTGTGCTAAGTTGGCTGTGCTGAAGAACGAATGGTTGGCGCAAAGTTTAGGTGCGCAACAGTTCGGCGTTGTGTGTAGTTATGAGCCCGCAAGTTGAATGTACGTCTTTGTTACCGTCCACAGCTTGTTTCTAGAACTATAGGACGATTTCGTTTTTACGAATTGACGACAATGACTGGGTTATCTGAAAGCCTTGAATCAAATGAAAGGGCGTGATCATTTCCAATCAGAAAAATCGTATTATACCGGGTGATGTAAATTTGACCCTCAAAATTGGGATCTTGGAGAGATAAGGAGTCGTAATGTTAGGCAACTAACTAAATGCCGCTTAGAAAGCTTCGAAATTCAGCTAAAGGTTCCCAAATTTTTTTCAGGCACAATTTGAAAAAACGAATTCACCATTGGAAACGTTGTTGATCTTTAAGCTATTTTTCTCCATAGTCGCCATTTTTTCTACGCATTTTTTTAGATAATTGACTGACTGGGTGCGGTTCACTTTGGGAAACGCTACGTCACTCAAGTGGCGATGAGTTTCTATGGATGGTAACCTTTTTGCGTGCATAAATCCGATTTCGCACCTGACGGTGACGGCGATGAAACGTTTGAAAACATTCTTAGTAGTTTTTAAAAAGTGTGCTAATTTTTTATTTTTTATTATTAAGGACTATTTTTCCTCGTATAGTTTGCTTACAGTCTTGAGGATACAAATGAGAATTTGTGTTTGCTGTGGTACCACTAGCATTAAAATACATTCATATTATTTTATGACCGAAAATGAGACGACAAAAGTATGGAAACATATTTTTTATTAAAAAATTTAATACAATAACTCTACAAAAAGATTTAAAATATACTGGTAGCATAGCCTTTAGCATCCAACACTGCCTGACATCTGCTGCTCATAGACACCAATTTTTTACAGACGTCTGTTGGGATATTTTGCCCAATATTTTTTACATAATCAAATAAATCTTTCTGGTTTTCAAAAGTTTTTCGTGTCATTTGTCCTTTAACATGTTCCCAGAGATGTTCTATAGGGTTAAGGTCCGGGGATTGCAAAGACCATGTAAGAACATTAAATTTTTTTAGTCTTAATTTTGAGGTATGCTTAGGGTCATTATCTTGCTGGAATGTCCATCGTAAAGGCATTTCTTCTTCAGCAAAAGCGAGCATGTGTTCACTAAGAATATCTTTGTAAAGTTTTTGATCCATTTTCCCAACAATTTTAATAATTGGACCCGTTCCAGAACTAGAAAAACAGCCCCAAACTATGATGCTGCCTCCACCGTGCTTAACGGTTGGCAACTGATACTTTTTGTTGAATCCTTTTTTTCTTTTGAAAATATGTGTGGCTGGCATTCGAGGATCTTCATGGGACAAACGTTTAATGTAGCGAAACAAAACAATCGGTTTTTTTTTGGTCTTCCGCACCTGGGCCGCGTTTCTGTTGATCCGTATTCTTGATATTTACTCATTTATTCATTTTTAATCTTTGAGAAATGTCAACATTTCTGACACCACTTCCAAATAATTCAATTACCTTGTCTCTTAAATCTTTTGAAAATTCTTTTACTTTTGCCATTCTCACTGATGTTAATATTTATCGCTCGGAATATCAGAGTATCGCAGAACGAATAAATACGGCAAAACTGAAATGTTTCCATACGTTTGTCGTTGCAAAAACTGTGGTATTTAAAAGAACGCGTGTTTTCATTTTCAGAGAATTTTAATATTGATAAGATACACCTTGTATTAGTACGGAAGCCAAAGGTAGACTTTAATATTTATATTATCTGTTCCTTCACAATTTTAATTTAGGTATATGAAATAGTTCATAATATTTGTTTCCAAACTTTTGTCCGCTACTGTAGGTGCTCCTTGTTGGGATCGGTGGCGGGGGAGCCCACAAACACGACGGCGTTGCCAGATTTGTGAACCCTATTTATGAGACAACCCTCGTATTTCCGGAAAAAACTAATTTTCCCAAAATTTTTTCCCGACTTTATCTGCCGAGGGATTTCAAAATAAATTGCACATTAACACTTTTTCTCCTCTACACGATGGCATAATTGGAATTCCAATTTGTAACTTTTCTAAATAAAAGAGTTGTTAGCAAGTACAAACTGAACGCGTAACATACAAGAAACAATAAAGCACGGCTCTGTGTTCAACGGCGTTGACGGATCCGTCAGAATTGTGTGTCACTTGTCGATATGGGGAATTTTGAACTATTACTAGATAATCAGCTGTTATTCTACCATAATGGGTACTCGGGAAAAAAGATAGCTTTCCTTCTTCCGTCATTCACATAGAACAAAAAACAATCTAAGTGCTCATTTATACTGTTTTTGGACGTCTGTTGAGGTAAACAGCTGATCAGCAAGTGACATCTTTGCGTTTGTCCATATGTCAATTTATACGGTTGGTAATAATGAAAATGTAATTTTAAATTCAGACAAAATAAACGCAGTAAACAGAGAAGTGCAATAAACTTACTGTTACAAAGTATGAATTAGTACAAAAAGTCCCAACAGAACACTGCCACTAAATACCCGTCTTTCTTAAATACAACGGATCCGTTACGAGGTCTGTAAATTGAGTAATGAGACTGTTTTTTTTTTAATTTTTTTTCCAAATATAATTACAATTTTATATTGGCGCCCTCAAAATAACTTTCTTCTGAAGCCACACAGCACTCCCGATAGCAGTGTTTATTGACATTGCTGTGTGACAAAGAGCATTATCGCTATGCAACCCTAGTGGTTCTCACCCGAATGTCACTTTTTCGAAGTTGTTCAAGAACCTCCCGGTAAAAGTGTTGATTGGCTCTTTATGGACGACTTCGTGGATATCGAAAAAACAACTCAGCATGCATTTGATCTTCTACTTCGTTTTCATTGCTTTTTTGGGCCTTGGAGAGTTTGAAATGTGGCACTCCATGTTTTGACGCCGTGCTCAAACGCCCAAGACTCGTCACCCGTAATGACACGCTCTAGGAAATGGGGATCATTTTCAGTCGAATCCAACAAGTCCTTCCTGATGTCCCTCTGGTCTTGCGAAAGGTTTTTTGGTATTATTTTTGCGCAGGTTCTTCTCATCCCCTGATACGATGAAGGATCTTAACGCACAAGATCCCGGATTCTGTCGATAGTTTCATCGGTTCTTGAAGATGAAAGCCTTTCGCTTTCAGTCGACGCTCTTCCCTCTGAAAATGCCTTAAACTACCGAAACACCTGGCCTCTTGACAAAACGCTATCTCCGTAGGCCTGATCAAGTTTAGCAAGAGTTTTCATTGCACTGAGCCTAAAGTCTAGAGCAAAACTAGATAGGACACCGTTGCTCGAAATTGATGTCATTCATTTTTAAAACACACAAAAAAGTCGCTACGGACCACCAAATGACTCGAGCGAGGTCAACCTTGTACTCAGTGTTGCCGAACCGAAAAAGACGATGTGGAGGAAAAAATTCGTAAATAAGGACTCATTTCGGTAGAAATACCGAAAAATCGGTATGTTCGGCAACACTGCTTGTACTGAGGTGGATCACATGCCCGGCGCCTCCAGTGTTGCCAGATCAAACGCTACGTTGCCAGTCTCATTACTTGATTGACAGACTTCGTATGCAGCGTTGCCGGATGCGTCGCAAGAAATGATCGTACATTACAGTGCGCGACTCAAATCGCGTACATATATGAGCGCTTAGCCATTTTAAGTTAACCTTAGATTACCCTATAGTTCTGCAAACAGCTGTAAGATTTTCATGATTTATACAAATAGTAGCGGGATGAAATCGTGTATGAGCTTTAACAGATGTTTTTCCTTTTGAAAGCTTACTAAAACAGATTCTTACAGTTTTTATTCATGAAGCAAGAATTTCTATTGTCTGTAATTTGCTGTGAATTAGCTATCATTATTGGTTTCAGAAAGTACAACAATATCGATTTTCATTATTTGTTTTTGTTCCTTAAGAGGTAAATAAAGCAATGCTTTTCCGGTAACTAGACTAAATGATAGACTATTTTGTAATTATATATGTACATTGAATTGAAATATATGTAATTTTGTATAGTAAATATTGAGTATATCATTAATTAAGGTTGATTGCAATAAAAATAAATTCTATATGACCGGAGTACTTTTTTATTTTATGAGACTGTTTTTTTTTTTATTTTTTTTTCCAAATATAATTACAATTTTATATTGTCGCCCTCAAAATAACTTTTTTCAGAAGCCACACAGCGTTCCCGATAGCAGTGTTTATTGACATTGCTGTGTGACAAAGAGCATTATCGCTATGCAACCCCAGTTGTTCTCACATGAGCGACACTTTTTCGAAGTTGTTCAAGAACCTCTCAGGAAAAGTGTTGTTTGACTCTTTATGGACGACTTCGTGGATATTCAAAAAACGATTGCGCATGCATTTGATCTTCGAGTTCGTTTTCATTGCTTTTTTGGGCCTTGGACAGGTTGAAATGTGCCAGTCCATACTCTAACGCTTGGTTTCTGAGTCGTGCTCAAACGCCCAAGACTCGTCACCGGTAATGACACGTTCTAGGAAATGGGGATCATTTTCAGCCGAATCCAAAAAGTCCTTCCTGATGTCCCCTGGTCTTGCGAAAGGTGTTTTGGCACCATTTTTGCGCAGGTTTTTCTCATCCCCAGATACGATGATCAATCTTAACGCACAAGATCCCGGATTCTGTCGATATTTTCATCGGTTCTTCAAAATGAAGGCCTTCCGCTTTCAGTCGACGCTCTTCCTTCTGAAAATGCCTTAAACCATCGAAAAACCTGGCCTCTTGACAAAACGCTATCTCCGTAGGCTTGCTGAAGTTTAGCAAGAGTTTTCATTGCACTGGGCCTAAAGTCTGGAGCAAAACTAGATAGGACTCCGTTGCTCGAAATTGATGTCACTCATTTTTAAAAGACACAAAAAAATCGCTACGAACCACCAAATGACTCGAGCGAGGTCAACCTTGTACTCAGTGTTGCCGAACGGAAAAATACGATACGGAGGAAAAAAAATCGTAAATAAGGACTCATTTCGGTAGAAATACCGAAAAATCGGTATGTTCGGCAACACTGCTTGTACTGAAGGCGGATCACATGCCCGGCGCCTCCAGTGTTGCCAGATCAAACGCTACGTTGCCAATCTCATTACTTGATTGACAGACTTCGTATGCAGCGTTGCCGGATGCGTCGCAAGAAATAATCGTACATTACAGTGCGCGACTCAAATCGCGTGCATATATGAGCGCTTAGCCATTTTAAGTTAACCTTAGATTACCCTATAGTTCTGCAAACAACTGTAAGATTTTCATGATTTATACAAATAGTAGCGGGATGAAATCGTGTATGAGCTTTAACAGATGTTTTTCCTTTTGAAAGCTTACTAAAACAGATTCTTAAAGTTTTTGTTCATGAAGCAAGAATTTCTGTTGTCTGTAATTTGCTGTGAATTAGCTACCATTATTGATTTCAGAAAGTACAAGATTGATTTTCATTATTTGTTTTTGTTCCTTAAAGGGTAAATAAAGCAATGCTTTTCCGGTAACTAGACTAAATGATAGACTATTTTGTAATTATATATGTACATTGAATTGAAATATATGTAATTTTGTATAGTAAATATTGAGTATATCATTAATTAAGGTTGATTGCAATAAAAATAAATTCTATATGACCTGAGTACTTTTTTATTTTATGAGACTGTTTTTTTTATTTTTTTTCCAAATATAATTACAATTTTATATTGTCGCCCTCAAAATAACTTTCTTCTGAAGCCACACAGCGCTCCCGATAGCAGTGTTTATTGACATTGCTGTGTGACAAAGAGCATTATCGCTATGCAACCCCAGTGGTTCTCACACGAATGACACTTTTTCGAAGTTGTTCAAAAACCTCCCGGTAAAAGTGTTGATTCACTCTTTATGGACGACTTCGTGGATATCGAAAAAACAACTCAGCATGCATTTGATCTTCTACTTCGTTTTCATTGCTTTTTTGGGCCTTGGAGAGTTTGAAATGAGCCACTCCATGCTCTAACGCTTGGTTTCTGGGCCGTGCTCAAACGCCCAAGACTCGTCACCCGTAATGACACGTTCTGATGTCCGTCTGGTCTGGCGAAAGGTTTTTTGGTATTATTTTTGCGCAGGTTTTTCTCATCCCTAGATCCGATGAACGATCTTAACGCACAAGATCCCGGATTCTGTCGATATTTTCATTTGTTCGTGAAGATGAACGCCTTTCGCTTTCAGTCGACGCTCTTCTCTCTGAAAATGCCTTAAACCACCGAAACACCTGGCCTCTTGACAAAACGCTATCTCCGTAGGCCTGATCAAGTTTAGCAAGAGTTCATTGCACTGCGCCAAAGTCTGAAGCAAAACTAGATAGGACACCGTTGCTCGAAATTGATGTCACTCATTTTTAAAACACACAAAATCGGATCGCTACGGACCACCAAATGACTGGAGCGAGGTCAACCTTGTACTCAGTGTTGCCGAACCGAAAAAGACGATACGGAGGAAAAAATTCGTAAATAAGGACTCATTTCGGTAGAAATACCGAAAAATCGGTATGTTCGGCAACACTGCTTGTACTGAGGTGGATGACATGCCCGGCGCCTCCAGTATTGCCAGATCAAACGCTACGTTGCCAATCTCATTACTTGATTGACAGACTTCGTATGCAGCGTTGCCGGATTCGTCGCAAGAAATAATCGTACATTACAGTGCGCGACTCAAATCGCGTGCATATATGAGCGCTTAGCCATTTTAAGTTAACCTTAGATTACCCTATAGTTCTGCAAACAGCTATAAGATTTTCATGATTTATACAAATAGTAGCGGGATGAAATCGTGTATGAGCTTTAACAGATGTTTTTTCTTTTGATAGCTTACTAAAACAGATTCTTACAGTTTTTGTTCATGAAGCAAGAATTTCTGTTGTCTGTAATTTGCTGTGAATTAGCTATCATTATTGATTTCAGAAAGTACAAGATTGATTTTCATTATTTGTTTTTGTTCCTTAAGGGGTAAATAAAGCAATGCTTTTCCGGTAACTAGTCTAAATGATAGACTATTTTGTAATTATATATGTACATTGAATTGAAATATATGTAATTTTGTATAGTAAATATTGAGTATATCATTAATTAAGGTTGATTGCAATAAAAATAAATTCTATATGACCGGAGTACTTTTTTATTTTGAGACTGTTTTTTTTTCCAAATATGATTACAATTTTATATTGTCGCCCTCAAAATAACTTTCTTCTGAAGCCACACAGCGCTCCCGATAGCAGTGTTTATTGACATTGCTGTGTGACAAAGAGCATTATCGCTATGCGACCCCAGTGGTTCTCACACGAATGACACTTTTTCGAAGTTGTTCAAGGACCAGATACGATGAACGATCTTAACGCACAAGATCCCGGATTCTGTCGATATTTTCATCGGTTCTTGTAGATGAAGGCCTTTCGCTTTCAGTCGACGCTCTTCCCTCTGAAAATGCCTTAAACCATCGAAAAACCTGGCCTCTTGACAAAACGCTATCTCCGTATTCCTGCTGAAGTTTAGCAAGAGTTTTTATTGCGCTGCGCCAAAGTCTGAAGCAAAACTAGATAGGACACCGTTGCTCGAAATTGATGTCACTCATTTTTAAAACACACAAAAAGTCGCTACGGACCACCAAATGACTGGAGCGAGGTCAACCTTTGTACTCAGTGTTGCCGAACCGAAAAAGACGATACGGAGGAAAAAATGGGTAAATCAGGACTCTTTTCCGTAAAAATACCGAAAAATCGGTATGTTCGGCAACACTGCTTGTACTGAGGTGGATGACATGCCCGGCGCCTCCAGTGTTGCCAGATCTAATGCTACGTTGCCAGTCTCATTACTTGATTGACAGACTTCGTATGCAGCGTTGCCGGATGCGTCGCAAGAAATAATCGTACATTACAGTGCGCGACTCAAATCGCGTGCATATATGAGCGCTTAGCCATTTTAAGTTAACCTTAGATTACCCTATAGTTCTGCAAACAGATGTAAGATTTTCATGATTTATAAAAATAGTAGCGGGATGAAATCGTGTATGAGCTTTAACAGATGTTTTTCCTTTTGATAGCTTACTAAAACAGATTCTTACAGTTTTTGTTCATGAAGCAAGAATTTCTATTGTCTGTAATTTGCAGTGAATTAGCTATCATTATTGGTTTCAGAAAGTACAACAATATCGATTTTCATTATTTGTTTTTGTTCCTTAAGAGGTAAATAAAGCAATGCTTTTCCGGTAACTTAGACTAAATGATAGACTATTTTGTAATTATATATGTACATTGAATTGAAATATATGTAATTTTGTATAGTATATATTGAGTATATCATTAATTAAGGTCGATTGCAATAAAAATAAATTCTATATGACCGGTGTACTTTTTTATTTTATGAGACTGTTTTTTTTTATTTTTTTTTCCAAATACATTACAATTTTATATTATCGCCCTCAAAATAACTTTCTTCTGAAGCTACATAGCGCTCCCGATAGCAGTGTTTATTGACATTGCTGAAGAACCTCTCGGTAAAAGTGCTGATTGACTCTTTATGGGCGACTTCGTGGATATCGAAATAACAACTCAGCATGCATTTGATCTTCTACTTCGTTTTCATTGCTTTTTTGGGCCTTGGAGAGTTTGAAATGTGCCACTCCATGTTCTGACGCTTGGTTTCTGGGCCGTGCTCAAACGCCCAAGACTCGTCACCCGTAATGACACGTTCTGATGTCCCTCTGGTCTTGCGAAAGGTTTTTTGGTATTATTTTTGCGCAGGTTTTTCTTATCCCTAGATCCGATGAACGATCTTAACGCACAAGATCCCGGATTCTGTCGATATTTTCATCGGTTCTTGAAGATGAAGGTCTTTCGCTTTCAGTCGACGCTCTTCCCTCTGAAAATGCCTTAAACCACCGAAACACCTGGCCTCTTGACAAAACGCTATCTCCGTAGGGCTGATCAAGTTTAGCAAGAGTTCATTGCACTGCGCGAAAGTCTGAAGCAAAACTAGATAGGACACCGTTGCTCGAAATTGATGTCACTCATTTTTAAAACACACAAAAAAATCGCTACGGACCAACAAATGACTGGAGCGAGGTCAACCTTGTACTCAGTGTTGCCGAACCGAAAAAGACGATACGGAGGAAAAAATTCGTAAATAAGGACTCATTTCGGTAGAAATACCGAAAAATCGGTATGTTCGGCAACACTGCTGTGATGACATGCCCGGCGCCTCCAGTATTGCCAGATCAAACGCTACGTTGCCAATCTCATTACTTGATTGACAGACTTCGTATGCAGCGTTGCCGGATGCGTCGCAAGAAATGATCGTACATTACAGTGCGCGACTCAAATCGCGTGCATATATGAGCGCTTAGCCATTTCAAGTTAACCTTAGATTACCCTATAGTTCTGCAAACAGCTGTAAGATTTTCATGATTTATACAAATAGTAGCGGAATGAAATCGTGTATGAGCTTTAACAGATGTTTTTCCTTTTGATAGCTTACTAAAACAGATTCTTACAGTTTTTGTTCATGAAGCAAGAATTTCTGTTGTCTATAATTTGCTGTGAATTAGCCATCATTATTGATTTCAGAAAGTACAACAATATCGATTTTCATTATTTGTTTTTGTTCCTTAAAGGGTAAATAAAGCAATGCTTTTCCGGTAACTAGACTAAATGATAGACTATTTTGTAATTATATATGTACATTGAATTGAAATATATGTAATTTTGTATAGTAAATATTGAGTATATCATTAATTAAGGTTGATTGCAATAAAAATAAATTCTATATGACCGGAGTACTTTTTTATTTTATGAGACTGTTTTTTTTTATTTTTTTTCCAAATATAATTACAATTTTATATTGTCGACCTCAAAATAACTTTCTTCTGAAGCCACACAGCGCTCCCGATAGCAGTGTTTATTGACATTGCTGTGTGACAAAGAGCATTATCGCTATGCGACCCCAGTGGTTCTCACACGAATGACACTTTTTCGAAGTTGTTCAAGGACCTCCCGGTAAAAGTGTTGATTGACTCTTTATGGACGACTTCGTGGATATCGAAAAAACAACTCGGCATGCATTTGATCTTCTACTTCGTTTTCATTGCTTTTTTGGGCCTTGGACAGGTTGAAATGTGCCACTCCATACTCTAACGCTTGGTTTCTGGGCCGTGCTCAAACGCCCAAGACTCGTCACCGGTAATGACACGTACTAGGAAAGGGGGATCATTTTCAGTCGAATCCAAAAAGTCCTTCCTGATGTCCCCCTGGTCTTGCGAAAGGTGTTTTGGCACCATTTTTGCGCAGGTTTTTCTCATCCCCAGATACGATGAACGATCTTAACGCACAAGATCCCGGATTCTGTCGATATTTTCATCGGTTCTTGGAGATGAAGGCCTTTCGCTTTCAGTCGACGCTCTTCCCTCTGAAAATGCCTTAAACCACCTAAACACCTGGCCTCTTGACAAAACGCTATCTCCGTAGGCCTGATCAAGTTTAGCAAGAGTTCATTGCACTGCGCCAAAGTCTGAAGCAAAACTAGATAGGACACCGTTGCTCGAAATTGATGTCACTCATTTTTAAAACACACAAAAAAGTCGCTACGGACCACCAAATGACTCGAGCGAGGTCAACCTTGTACTCAGTGTTGCCGAACCGAAAAAGACGATACGGATGAAAAAATGGGTAAATAAGGACTCATTTCAGTAAAAATACCGAAAAATCGGTATGTTCGGCAACACTGCTTGTACTGAGGTGGATGACATGCCCGGCGCCTCCAGTGTTGCCAGATCAAACGCTACGTTGCCAATCTCATTACTTGATTGACAGACTTCGTATGCAGCGTTGCCGGATGCGCCGCAAGAAATAATCGTACATTACAGTGCGCGACTCAAATCGCGTGCATATATGAGCGCTTAGCCATTTTAAGTTAATCTTCGATTATGCTATAGTTCTGCAAACAGCTGTAAGATCTTCATGATTGATACAAATAGTAGCGGGATGAAATCGTGTATGAGCTTTAACAGATGTTTTTGTTGTTGTTGTGTCGTTTTTGTTCATGACGCTTGGTTTCTGGGACGTGATCAGACGCCCAAGACTCGTTACCCGTAATGTAAAAATACCGAAAAATCGGTATGTTCGGCAACACTGCTTGTACTGAGGTGGATAACATGCCCGGCGCTTCCAGTATTGCCAGATCAAACGCTACGTTGCCAATCTCATTACTTGATTGACAGACTTCGTATGCAGCGTTGCCGGATGCGTCGCAAGAAATGACCGTACATTACAGTGCGCGACTCAAATCGCGTGCATATATGAGCGCTTAGCCATTTTAGGTTAACCTTAGATTACCCTATAGTTCTGCACACAGCTGTAAGATTTTCATGATTTATACAAATAGTAGCGGGATGAAATCGTGTATGAGCTTTAACAGATGTTTTTCCTTTTGATAGCTTACTAAAACAGATTCTTACAGTTTTTGTTCACGAAGCAAGAATTTCTGTTGTCTGTAATTTGCTGTGAATTAGCTATCATTATTGATTTCAGAAAGTACAAGAATATCGATTTTCATTATTTGTTTTTGTTCCTTAAGAGGTAAATAAAGCAATGCTTTTCCGGTAACTAGACTAAATGATAGACTATTTTGTAATTATATATGTACATTGAATTGAAATATATGTAATTTTGTATAGTAAATATTGAGTATATCATTAATTAAGGTTGATTGCAATAAAAATAAATTCTATATGACCGGACTACTTTTTTATTTTATGAGACTGTTTTTTTATTTTTTTTTCCAAATATAATTACAATTTTATATTGTCGCCCTCAAAATAACTTTCTTCTGAAGCCACACAGCGCTCCCGATAGCAGTGTTTATTGACATTGCTGAAGAACCTCTCGGTAAAAGTGTTGATTGACTCTTTATGGACGACTTCGTGGATATCGAAATAACAACTCAGCATGCATTTGATCTTCTACTTCGTTTTCATTGCTTTTTTGGGCCTTGCAGAGTTTGAAATGTGCCACTCCATGTTCTGACGCTTGGTTTCTGGGCCATGCTCAGACGCCCAAGACTCGTACCCGTAATGACACGTTTTGATGTCCCTCTGGTCTTGCGAAAGGTTTTTTGGTATTATTTTTACGCAGGTTTTTCTCATCCCTAGATCCGATGAACGATCTTAACGCACAAGATCCCGGATTCTGTCTATATTTTCATCGGTTCTTGAAGATGAAGGCGTTCTGCTTTCAGTCGACGCTCTTCCTTCTGAAAATGCCTTAAATCACCGAAAAACCTGGCCTCTTGACAAAACCCTATCTCCGTAGGCCTGATCAAGTTTAGCAAGAGTTCATTGCACTGCGCCAAACTCTGAAGCAAAACTAGATAGGACACCGTTGCTAGAAATTGATGTCACTCATTTTTAAAACACACAAAAAAGTCGCTACGGACCACCAAATGACTGGAGCGAGGTCAACCTTTTACTCAGTGTTGTCGATCCGAAAAAGACGATACGGAGGAAAAAATGGGTAAATGAGGATTCATTTCAGTAAAAATACCGAAAAATCGGTATGTTCGGCAACACTGCTTGTACTGAAGGCGGATCACATGACCGGCGCCTCCAGTATTGCCAGATCAAACGCTACGTTGCCAACCTCATTACTTGATAGACAGACTTCGTATGCAGCGTTGCCGGATGCGTCGCAAGAAATAATCGTACATTACAGTGCGCGACTCGAATCGCGTGTATATATGAGCGCTTAGCCATTTTAAGTTAACCACAGATTACCCTATAGTTCTGCAAACAGCTGTAAGATGTAGACTTACCTACTTTCGAAAGGACCACATTCTATAGTTTACTCAAAGAACTTCATTTGAGTATAGAAAACGGGGCAGAAATAGTATTTTGATGGACATCCAAGAGATTATTTTATGGAGAAGAAATTACGTCAGATCAATAAAAAAATTTCGCGACCAGGACAGGAAGACTTATTACTTGGATGAAACCTGCATAAATGCAGGACATAAAAAACGCCATTTTTTGATTTTTACTCAAATCGAGATTTTGTTATTAAAAAACGAAAAAAAAATGACCAAAAAATTTTGATATTTACGGCAAACCATTAGAAATAGATGTGGGATGAAAAGTATGTGCACTGCTTTCTATAAAAATAATCATTTATTTTGTTAGATTATTCCAAGACCATTGAGGAAAATACAGACCTGTACAATCTCGCCTTTGGGAATGTTGTGACGTAAAAATGCCGGTCTTATGTCACAAGCAATTGACGTCATTATATGACGTCATAGTATGTCGTATAAAAGGCCAAATACAAAGTCGATATGACGTGAATATGACGCCTATCTGAGGTCTATACTGGGACATACAGAATAAAACTCTTAAGATAAGGTTTGATGTCAACCACGCATGCTGAACATATCTTGTCGGTGTGGTGCAAAGTAACGGGCAATATTACGACAATGTTTTATTTACAATTCATCATGTTTAGTAACCGAATTCTCGTTTTCTAAGAGTCCTAAGCTATCCCAGAACTTTTTTGAATCGAAGTCCTTCTCAATACGTTTTTGGATATCGTCTGGACTGTTAATAGCATAATACACAAAGTCTTTCTTCATCGGCTCCCATCCACTATTGTTGATGCTTGGAACACTAAAACATACAGATTTATAAATATATTTGTACATATAGGTACTGTGTTTTGGCAGATTTTTAAAATCCAATTTTTCATTTGTGTCATTTTTATCAGAATCGTGCAGTATTCACGATTCAATCAGAAAACTTTGAAGATAGTTTTGATAACAATTGAATCAGATATTTTAGAAAACCTACCCTTTGCTAGCATAAGACTGGAGAATATCCATACATATATTTTTCATTCTGATGTCTTTTTCTGAGAGTGGCTTAACTATGGCTCCTCCCATAAAGTAGATCATATCGTCCCCATGGCATACTCCTTAAACAAAATATATTGATTTTATTTAGCTTCATAGAAAAGGTTGAAACCAGACATTCGTTTTCCAATTAATCAAGCAGTTGGGTTACAATGATTTATGAATTAGTCGTAATTTCACCTTTCACTTCTTCGTTTGGTGCCATGATATGTTTGACGCTGTTTTCGCCCTCATAGTTGAACTGATATACGTACACCGGTGAGTTTGTTATGCTGGATTGTAATTTTGCTGCTGTTTGCATTGGTACCAAATACGCTCTATCAGTTGCCATCTGAAAAATATATTAGTCAACTAAATCCCGTTCTGTCTTCTGGAACAGTAGGATGGTAGATCTTACATTTTCTGGCCTCCAAAAGTTACCGAATTGCAACGTTTTGTGAGTGCCTAAAGTGGTTCAAAAATTATCTACAGTATATTCAGATAAGAGATAGACCGGACATAAACAAGACCACGTGATCATCGAACGCTGTAACATTCGGCAGGGACGTATTAAGAGTCACGCAGTACATATTTTAGATAGTAGATGCTGCTTTGCGTAACTTTGTAGTAAATTAGCACAATTCGATGTGTATACGATTGGTGATGGATATAGGATCATGTGGGGGTGGGGTAAGAAATATATAATGATGTATATATACATAAGGGTTTCAAAATTTTCGCTTCGATTTCCAGCTTCGGATGCCGCCTGATGTTCAGTGAAATACAGTCGAATATAATCTCAAAATGGCGTTTAAATTAGCCTAAATTAAAAATAATCGTATATCTCTTAAAATTGCTTTTAGAATATTGATTAGTATATTTTTTGATTTCTAGGTAAATATGTAACCAAATTAAAACGTTCAAAACGTAAAAAAATGTGCATGGTTGAACATTGTCAGAAAGTAGATTCTTGAATAGATTTTGCCAAAATGGGTTCAAAAATGTCAATAATTAATTAAAAAATACAGTAGCTTTATAATTACTTATAACTTACCGAATTTGATGAACGACATCTTTTATTGGAAAGATGAGCTTGATGAGCTTTCATCATCGCTACTGCCTGAAGCACCAACGTCAATAATGAATGGCTGGACTTGTTCCTCTAAAATATTGTCCAGTTCCCACATTCTCTTTTCAACTTTGTCTTTCACGTGCTTAATACAGTTTTCCCATTTTTGCGCTGTTATTAATTCTAGTGCTTCTTTGAAAAGTCCTTTGAGGTCACAAAATTTAAAAGTTGTATTGTGCTTAGCTATATAATTTTTAACCTCTGCCCATATGAGCTCAATGGGATTGAGCTCGCAATGGTATGGAGGTAAACGGAGCACAGTTTTATTTTGACTTGCTGCCATTTCGTCAATGGCGTATTTTTGATATTCCGCCTTGTGATCCTTGACAATTCTTAATAATTGTACTTTCAGCATTGCTTCTTCAAAGTTGATATTTTTCGAGCGGAGCCAATTTTGAACATCAACTTTCATTGAAGCCGTTGTTGGGACCTTCTCCATTCTTCGAGAATGATAAGGCGCATTATCCAACACAATTACTGCGTTTTCCTCTAAGTTCGGTAAAATTTTTGAAAACCACTGTTCAAACGATTCGCCATTCATTTCCTCGTGGTAATCTCCAGTTTTCTTAGACTCAAAGCACCACAGACCGTCAACAACAAATCCATCCTCACTGCCAATATGGCAGATAATGAGCCTTTTCCCTTTACCTGGAAATCGAAGTACTAACTGGTGTAGATTTATTTCAATAAGCGAACCTTTTTCAAATGTTTTCATCACATTCAGCGAAAAAACATTGTGAGACATGAGTATCAGATTGCTATAATTGGGATTATTTAGTCATATTGAAAGAAAGAATATTGAACGTCGTATGATTACTCAGCGCTTCACAATTTAATTTAAAGTTATAAACCTTTGAAAAATGAATGATCAGGAACCTGAAATATGCGCAAATATTAATATTAACAAATTATAACTTTATAAAGCTTAAAGTATGAATTAAAATGATTAGAAATAATAGGAACGGTACACAATATAAAACTTAGTAACTTTTTTTAAGTTTATAATATTCGACATATTTTAAGATTATATTAAAAAATAATTGAAAGTTATAAAAGTTTTGTTACTTGTAATATGTTTTATCTGCCCCCTGGAATTAATGTTTAGAACCTTGTTCCCAAGGTTTGAAAAACATCCGATTGTTGTCTATTACTCGTATTTACCTGCTGGATTTTTTAATCCGGTGGACAGTCCATCTAGAAAGGCCCTCCTGGATGAAGTTACAGAATCATCAACCCATACTTTACTTGTAGTGTGTCCTGCGTTTACCCACGTTTCATCAAGGTAATAAATCTTCCTGTTTTGATTTCTATATTTCCCAATTTTTGTTAAATAATCCCTCCTCCATAGCACAATTTCTTCTCTATCCAGTAGTAAACTATTACGACCCCGTTTTTTCCATTTGAAATTTAAATGCTTCAGTAACGCATGGAAAGTTGATCGTTTGAAATTTGGCAACGTTGTATCTCCATTTACCTCCTGCAGTACTTTATCTATAGTAGGTATTTCATTCCTAAAGAAGAATTCATGCACTTTCCTCCTAATTGCATGCTTATCAGCTTCATCCAATGATTTAACAATACTTTTGCGATGTTTACTGGTCATTGGCTCAGAAAAGGTGTGATTTTTTTGTATTGACTTAACACATTAAACACTGATGCGCGACACACCCCAATTTTGTGAGAAACCTTCACAACAATTTCTTTGATGGTTGATGCCTCGTTCTCCTCGCGCTCGATCTTATATATATTCAAAATGACCTCTTTCATTTCTGCACTCAGGTGTCTTTTTTTAGAGCATTTCCTAGGTGGACTACAGGAGTTTACAACTTCATCGGCAGTATCTGTACTACTGGGCATTTTGCGCAAGCAGTTGATAACAATAACAATCAATAACAAGGTATAACAATAACAACGACAAACTCAACAACTTAATAAGATAACAAACGAAAACGTCCAAAGAAATATCAAATTGCAATGATGCACACGACATCCGTAACACGTCTGAACCTGAATGCGACTCTGCCTTGATACGACTGCTCTGCCGCTCGGCATAGGCATTTAATTGCGAATTGACCAATGAGGGCTCCTGTTTTACGTCGAGACGGCGGCGTTAGCGTGAAAATCACCCGAACCTTTTGTTTACATCCGGTCTATCTCTTATCTGAATATACTGTAGGTAGTGTCGAAATAATATGGAATATAGAAGAGAAGCGTCACTCCGTCGTTAAAACAGTTTTCGGCGCGGTGTCAGAAATGATAATCCTACATATACAGTTCAAATTATTTGGGAAACGTTATGATCTTTGTACTTTTTACCGTTCACCAAACAGTGATGCGGATACATTTTTAACGTTTTTTGAAGAAAAATGCGAAGAAATGTGGAATTTTAGAAACAATATAATACTTTTAGGTGATTTTAATTTAAATTATTATCGTAAAAGCATGAAAACAAGAAAATTGAAAGAAACCATAAACAACTATGGGTTCAAGCAAAAAATTGAAGAGAGTACCAGAACAACATCATTATCAGAGACTTTGTTAGATCTTGTTATTGCAAATTTCGAATGTGCAGGGATTAAAGCTGTACATACACCTAAAGTTGGACAATGTTGCCCTTGGTAGGGCATTTTTCTGATACAAAAATTAAGAAAATCGTAAATACTATTAAGTACGAAAAACTTGAACGAGAACTTGCTGGCTGCTATTGGAATTTTGGTGAGAATATGGAAAAAATGTATGACAACATAATAGGAAATATGAAAACTTGTATAGATCTTGCAACTGATAAAAAAGTGATTTGCTCGACAAAAAATACACCCTGGTATAACAAGAATATTAAGGCAGCTCAAAATTTGAGAGACAAACAATACAATAAATGTATATTCACAAAATCAAATGATGATTGGGAGGTATATAAAACTCTTAGGAATAAATGTGTATATGTAATTAGAGAAGAAAAAAGGAAATTCTACGATAAACAAATCGATAATAACAAGTGCGACAGTGTAAAGATGTGGAAGACTTTAAAAAGACTGATCAATTCGAAGCCGCATGATTGTGTAAATCAAGTTCAATTCGAAATCGGTACCGAAACAAATTCTTTGGTGATTGCAAACAAACTAAATGAATATTTTGTGGAAAGTACTGTTGATATTGTGGGTACTGCCAATGCTGCACCTGACTATATGAAAATCAGTTTCCAGGGGGAAATGTTGCATACACTTTCAAAATTTCACAGCGTATCATTGAATTATCTAAGAAAAAAAGTAAACAGTTTAAAATCAAATAACAACTGTGCCGAAATGACTACTAAAAACGTGCTGAAAAACTGTTCCGAAATTTTGAGATATCCTGTATTAAATTGGATCAATTGTTCACTGAGAAGCAGTTCTTTCCCTGAAAATTTGAAATGCTCTACAATAACACGAGCTCCCAAAATAAAAAATTCTAAAAGATGCAGCGATATGGGACCAGTAAATGTGTTACCAGACATTGAAAAGTTATTAGAGTCCATAGTGCATGACCAACTAATGCAGTTTATAGAAGAAAACAAAATTTTAGTGGAGGCGCAAGCAGGCTTTCGAAAAAAATATACCACAGAAACAGCTTTCCAGTTGGTAACTGAGAATTGGAGAAGAGCCATAGACTCAGAAGAAGTTGTCATAGCAGTATTTTTTGATTTGAAGAGGGCATTTGAAACAATTGATAGAGATATTTTGTTAGGTAAATTGAAGGCATATGGTATAACAGGAAGTGGTTTATTGGTTTAGAAATTATTTTTCTAAAAGGATGCAACTTACAAAAGTTAATGACACTATTTCATCAAAAATTGAAAATACGTTGGGTGTTCCACAGGGCAGTATCCTGGGACCACTTCTTTTTATTTTATACATAAATGATTTACCTGCCATAGTCAAAAAATGCAAAATTCAGATTTTCGCTGATGACACTATGATTTATATAAGCACTAAAAATATTCAGTCTGGTATCTCTTATATAAATGAAGACTTGAAGCTTGTCTCAAAATGGTTAGCATCTAACAGACTAAAATTGAATGCAAGTAAAACGAAAGCCTTGTTAATCGGAAAAAAACAATGTACAAATGTTCAACTGAATATTGATGGTGAAGATATTGAATTCTTAGAAAGTTTTAAATACCTGGGGGTTGTTGCTGACTCTCGATTAATTTTTGATATTCATTATGAAAAAGTTATAAATAAGATTAGTAGTAAAGTGGGATATTTATCGAGAGTTTCTGGATGTCTGAGTTCATATAGCAGAAAAATTATCTATAATACCATCATTCTTCCAAATTTCTTGTACTGTTCGACTATTCTATATTTAGCAAATAATTCCATTTTTGAAAGACTGCAAATTTTACAAAATAAGTGCATGAGAATAATACTAAATAAAGATAAATATACTCCAATTAGGCAAATGCTTAGCAAATTAAAATGGCTCAATGTAAACAATTTTATCAAATATCTTGTAATGATACTCATTTATAAAGTAAAAAATAATATATTTCCATCAAGTCTAACTAATTTAACATCATCAAATGTTGACCATCATTTACATAATACCAGAAATAAAGATGACTTCCATTTAATGACCAAAAAGTATAACATATGCTACAAATCTGTATTCCATCAAGGGTTGATTGAATATAATAAATTATACTCGGAGATAAAAGACCAGAAAACTTTGACAAAATTTAAAGTAAAATTGAGAAATTACTTGTTAAATCTACAATTATAGGTTGCCCAGCATTTACATCATACACCATATGGCTTGAATTTACTAGTTCTAAGTTGTTTACAATGCCAAATGTGCTAAATAAATCTTTCTACTACTACTACTACTACATGTAGTTTAACTGTCGTGTCTGTGATATTTCAGGTGGTGAGGAGGAAGGTAAACATCCAAGTAATGAAGGTCGCTTGCAGATAGTTGTCTGCGGAACATTGTCGATACACATCCATATGGACCTTCTTTTTCTCCTCATGATCCTTTATTTAAGTACATGCCCACGATTGTCCACTGTTTCCATCTAAGTTTCCGTTAAGCTTACGTTAATAGATGTAAAAAGGTTACCTGAGTTAGTTCATCAGCAGTGAGGGTATTATCATCGTCGTCCAAAGCGGCGTAATGTTTCTTGATTTTATCCAAAACTTGCGGGTACGAATCATAGTAATGTACGATATGACGACCAGAAAAGTCATTCCATTTTTCGTTGATCTCATCCATACTTTTACGGATGACTGAAAAAACAAAAAGCAGCTATTGTTTAATTGCACACTATACTTCCTGTACTTTCCCAAATATTGGACCGTTTAACCAGACTTTTGACAACATTCCTGTATTCTAGATGGATTCCGTGAAAAATCGTGATTTATAACTTCGAACATAACCTGTCTGCAGAAAGGACAACATATAAATAACCCGTCGCGCACAGCTAATAGATATACTTCATTGGCAGCATATTCGGTAATAATTTTCTCACACAGCAAATACTCGTACACTCCTTTTATACACATGCAGACCAATACACATAATCATCCAGACGCGATCGTGCTATTCAACCAACGTCCTTCTCAGAGATGAAAACTACAGACTACTCGGCTTCACAAAAGATATGCAACCAACAATGCGTGCAGTTGAGTCATTCCTTCATAGATGGACGCTCACAACGATCCTAGTGACCAAACGTGGAATGACTGTTTGTACCCTTAAAACTATCTAGTCTGCAAGTTGACATTTTATAGTTTTTTGTTCACATTTTGTAGGCTTTATACATAATACTCGTGCAGAATCACTGACCGATATTGGTCTTTTTCCATTTTTATAAAATCCGTGTACACGTCCGCTTCCACACGCGGCAAAACGAAACTATGAGTCCGATTCCGCTGAAATTTTGGCAGTGGCTGTCTATGAGAACAAAATAAACGATAGTAAATTTATCTTGCGATAGTGAGGTTTTGTACTTATCGGACCTCCCTCGTAATAGATTTTTTCTGAAATATCTGTTAAACTAGCAAAAAATATGAGTTATCCAAGAAGAGCCACAAGTCACCATATTAAGTCAAGAAATTCTTTATAAATCACCTGGTTTAGCTACAAAAACATATTTTTCCAGTGGTTCATATATCTATAAATTACAATATTAGACGGCAATTTAATCAACAAGTTGATTAATTGTTTAAAATATTTCATTTTCCAAACTTATCTCTGTCAGGTAAGCAAAATACTGTACACAGTGCTTAGGAATTGGTGTCATATCAATCTAGGCATTATATCAGATCTGAAACTACTATTATTATTGGCCTTAGCAGACGATAAAAGGCGATAAGAGTAGGTTTTTTTGATAATAATAATTAATATACTAAGTGACATAAATCCGAACACCCAGTTTAAATGGTTTTATTTTAATAAAATTTTGTATAAGTACTTAATGAAGCATAATAAGTAAATGATAAAAATTTCAAAATGATTGCACTGCTTTAAAGCCCTTTGACCTTTAATAATGTGTGGATGCACCCTGATGTGCTACGCATTCTCCAACGCGCCTAGGCATGCTTCTGATCCGGTGGTCAATGTTCTCCTGTGGTATCTCATTCCAGGCAACCACCAACTCCTCTCGAGTACTTCTAGAGTCTGAGGAGGACGTTGCAAATTGAGCAATCTCCTACCCATCATATCCCACACGTGCTCAATTGGGGATAAGTCGGGAGATCTTGGTGGCCATGGTAACAATGTGACATCATTATGTTGAAAGAAGTCTATTGTGACTCTTGCAACATGTGGTCGGGCATTATCTTGTTGGAAAGTTGGATCTGCCAGGGTGTCAAGATAGGGTAAAAGATGGGGTTCTAGAACTTCGTGGATATAACGCTGCGCGTTCATGTTACCTCTAACGAAGATTAAAGGTGACCTGGAACCATAAGCTATAGCACCCCAAACCTTAACTCCAACAGTGTGATGAACATATCTTTCAACAAAAAACTGTGGATTCCTCCTTTCACCATGTCGCCTTCTAACCCTGGCACGACCATCGTGCATGCCTAAACAAAATCGAGACTCGTCACTAAAGACAATACTGTTCCATTCCTGATTCCAGAGTGACCGTTGTCTGCACCACTCAAGGCGATTACGTCGGTGTTCTCGAGTTAAAGGGAGAACCCAGTGTGGCCGGTATGAAAACAAGCCAAAACTTCTCATTCGTCGGTAAACACTTCGCATGCCAATAGGTCTTCCGTGTTCTGCAAACCATTCATTTGCAATGGATCTGGTAGTGGAGAAACGGTCCCTTAAGGCCAATAATCTTAGGCGGCGAGCTTCACGGTCTGTTGTTCTACGGCGGCGTCCAGTGCCCCTTGCTCTTTGCGTACGGCCTTCTCGAAGCCATGCCTGACAACACCTAACCACAGTGTCTACACTTCTTTGCACTCTAACTGCAATTGCCCGAAAAGAAAGTCCAGCTTCCCGAAGTCCCAGTATACGGCCCCTATCAAACTCACTAAGTTGACGAAATCGTACAGGTCTCCGTACTCTAGGCATCGTAACCGATCGTAAAGAATGTCAAGAACCAAAATCCGCCAACATTGATTCTTTACTGCGGCTGAAATATTCATTTTTAGAGCGTTAGTGAATTAAAAAAAAGCAGTATAAAAACCGGAATGTCCAACTGATAAGGCTGAAAATTTGTTCACTTGTTATTTACAGTAAGATAAATACATTCACCAACTTTTTTTTAAAATAAAACCATTTAAACTGGGTGTTCGGATTTATATGTCACTTAGTATAATTGTACTTAAGGAAAAAGAAAAAATGGATGTATGATACCAATAAAAAAGAAGGATATATTGAGAATATCATACTTTAATGCCCGAATTACGTTGAGATCCACAACGTATTTACGTATAGGTATCCCACACTGTATCCCTTTTTCTGCACTTTTCATGGTCTTCGTGACTTACATCCGTTGTGGACATCGTGAAAAACGTGGCGACATGCGATACGAACCGCGTTGTGAAATGAAACGCTGTCATTGAGATAAACCGCGGGGCCACGCCACCGCGCTGGTGTGGTCGGTGTTATTTACCGCTCTGAATACTGAGCACCGCATGTGCAGCGGTGCGTTTATCGCTATCGCGTTACCGCGTCGGTGTGGGGGATCCTTAAAGGCTTCTCTCGGATTGGTCAATTTTCGATGCTGTTTTACGAAAACGCTTTCAAATTGGCCGTTGTTGATCCGGATCGTAGCTTTTGATCTCCGAATCAACTGAAACAATATATTTTTGTAGCTAAACCAGAAGAATTCCCTTCGTACGCTTTTTCGCTAGGACAGATATTTTAGAGAAAAAGATATTCATTAGATCTATTACTATCGGGTTTTCCAATAGGGACTTGACAACTTTGAACGTTCACTGTGTACGCACCTTTAAATCAATTACCGAACTGTCAATGTCAAAACATTCAGTAAAGAAAACATTTTAATCATGGTGAAGTACACGAACGAACAACACTTACTAATAATTGAAATTTATTACCGAAATTCCGAGTCGGTGACTGCAACTTTAAGAGCGTTAACGCCAATTTTCGGTCGTGATTCTCGTCCCAGCAAAAAACTTGTCTAGTCCTTAATGGAAACCTCTTTATAAAGATGACTTCTCATTGATCCCCTGTTAGTAAAGTCGGCCCTACGCGGTACAACAAAAATATACCATTTTCTCGTGTTAGGCAGAAAATACTTGTAAGTCACAGGCTTACATATGCTAAATACAAGTCCATCATCAGCTACAACAGACGTAATCCACGGCAAATCTTGGACTTTTCCTTTCTTGAGCAGTTTGTAAGGGTGATCGGCAAGGAACGGTTTCTTCCCGCTTTTTTCAATGACAGGCGCGAAGGGGCAACAAGGGAAATGTTTGAAAGGTTGCAAACACTGTTTCGTCTTATCCACCAGTAGAGACGCGGGACGCGTTCTCAAGCAATCCACCATCATTTTTGTGGACGTGAAATTGCAGCCAACATTTTGGGCTAGGGTTCTGGCAGTTTCTAATGGACTGTGTTGTATCACCTTACTGGCTATGGCTGTTCCACTGTGTGAGATTCCCCTGAAATTTCGAAAGAAACTTTCATTTTACGAGGGCTGTTGCAAAAATAAGGTTTTTTTAGGTACAGAGAATTTTCTTTTTTCCATAGTCAACCACCAGTCAAATGGCGATGAATTTCTATGGGTGGTAACATTGTGCATGACTGATCATCTCAAATAGGCGCTTCTTATTGGGATCGGTGGTGGGGGAGCCGACCAACAAGACGGTGTTGCCAGATTTCGCCCAGCAAAGATATCTTATTTTTGAGTCAACCCTCGTATCTTGTTATCAGCGTGACAATCGGCTTGATCAGATGAAAATTCCACAAATACCTTAAAGGATTCTCTTCCAATTCTGCAGGAATATGTTATTGATGCTACGATCAGTTTATGAATAATTTATATATAGTCAACGCCAAACAAAGTGGCGTGCACGTCATCACGATAAAAATTCCCCGACCTAATGCCTAGGTTTCTATCACAAACAATTGCTCTATTGCAGTTTCATATTAATGTGATATATAAATTGTAAAATGGTCATTACTCTCTTATTATGGTTAATAGTCATATAAACATTGTTATTAAAATATCACATAAATTGCTTTCTGATAAATTTAGACGCATTATGCGAAATAAAATGTTTTGCAAACGCTCCAATCACTTATCGACATGTAAACGCACTAAACCGATTTCGCAGCGTTGACACATTGTCACCTTGAAACTTATTTAAACTGGGAACTGACATTTGTATTAATTTTGACACTGAATCAATTTGTGGCATTTCAAATCTTTATAAATCCTTTGGCCCCGCATACTGTAAATCAACAACTGTTTGCTTCAAAACAAAATTATTCATTTTACGAGTAGATAAAGGCAATTTTGGTATATAAAGATGCCCAAACAGTTAAATAGTCGGTGTAAGGAACTCGTGGCCTCGTTAATGCACTACTTTGAGCAAGAAAGGGCAACAACGGGCCTTTGTTGCCTTTAAATGCTGTTCAAGAGGTAGGTTACTAATAATTATATGTAATGTATATTAATAATAGTGAAATTTTATTTCATTTTTTGTAGCGTGTTGCTGCTGCTTTAAAAATTAGTTTAAGGACAGTTAGTCGTATTTCCGAGGGTTTGAAAAGTGATGCAAATTTAGAATCGCCCAAGAAAAAGCGGAGTTATATTAAACGTGTAACCAACACAGCGACATTGGATACAAGTGCCATTCGAGAAGTGATCTATAATATGTATCACAAAAGTAAGATCTTATTATAATAACTTATCAGAAATTTGCATTAATTTGTTAACTAAATTATAATGTCATATTACACATGGTTTCAGAAGAACAAGTTACGATACAAACTTTATGGTCTCGATTAAGAGATAGGGCATTATTTGATGGTAGTGCCACGTCTTTAAGGCGGTTGCTTAGAGATCTTGGATTTAAGTGGCTTAAGGACAATCCGCGACGAGGGCTCATGGAACTACCAAGTATAGCTTTGAAAAGGGTGGAATTTCTAAGGCAATACAATCAAGCCAAGGTTGAGGCCTTATACCAGTTTGTCTTCCTCGATGAAACTTGGATATTTCAAAATGGGACCATAGGTCGCTCTTGGCAAAATGGAAACCAAAAAAGCGTGAAAGCTATTAAAACAGATGGTAAAAGGTATGTACTTTTACACAATTTGCACTATAAAATTTAAAACTAATATATTTTAGATACATTATATTACATGCTGGAAATGAAAATGGGTTTATTGAGGGTAGTGAAGCGATATTTTCTTCGAAAACAAAATTGAGCGATTACCATGGAGAGATGAACCAGGACAATTTTTTGAAATGAAGGGTACAGGTCCATAAGGAGCTAAGTCGCCAAATGTTTATTTCGTACAAAGCAGAGTTTAACTTTTAAAACTAGTAATTGATAAATTCTTGATGGTTATTATGAATTCTGTTAATTAGATTAGTTATTTGGGTAATTATTGAGACACACACAAGAAATTAAACTTATATTGTCATTTATACAAAGTAGAACATAAGCATTAATTGGTCAAACCATCAAACATTGTTGGCCTAAAGGGGCCAAGTCCAAAAAAAACAAGTTATACCGAAAAGTAGACAATAGTTATTAATATAAAATATACTTCTAGTTCTTGGGCAGGTTATCGAAAAATTGTTTTGCTTTGTCACCACAGAATCGTTTTAAATCTATGTGTTTAAATTTTTTAGCCGTGATGGGTATCAAACCTAAAAATAATTTTGTTGTTTAAAAAAAATAGTATTTCAAGACATAAGTATTTTTTATACCTGAATAAGAATACGGAGGAAGTACACATTTATTTTGCAATAGCACAGGTCCCTTTCGCTTAGTCTCTTCTCCCTCCACTATTGCTGACTCGCATGCTCCATTATAGGACTCCCGGTAATATATTAGTCTATGATGTTCTTGATGTATTTCTAATTCTCGAATAGGACGGGAACGGAAAGGACATTTCTTCAAATAATCCGTTTTGGTATTAAAAAAATTTGTCCATGCTCGAAAGTAGGATTGATCTATTTCCACAACGTCAAATGGTGATGGTTTTGCACGAGCACTTCTTAAAATTTCTACCCAATCTGAAGGAATCTCGGCTCTTTGGTGGGAGTTTATTAAGCGCAAATATGGTTTCATGTAGGAATGCCCACGAATAGGAAAAGTAACTTTAACATAATCAAGTCTATGTGTATTGTGGACAATATAATGCAAAAAACGAAACATCGTGTAATTTTTATTTTGCCCTCCACACGAGTCGCAGAATATTTCAAGCGATCTTACTTGTAAATCGAGAAAATTCCATAAAAAGTCATTCAGCATTGAGCATACATCGTCGCTTCCCTTTTTGCCAAGTGTTTCCGGGTAAATGTAAAACACACTTTTTGCTGTAGATAGAATGTGGATATTAAAGGCATAGACGTTCAGCTGGCTCTTATAGTAAACATCGTTTGTTGTTATGTTTGGTACACTGAGATTTTGTCCAAAATCGAGACAAATAGCTTCGTGAGTCACAGAGGTTCGACTTCGTTTCTTCGCAGCCCTTTTTCTACTGTAAAATACCTCAGCCTTTCTTTTGTGTACATCATTTTGTATTGTAATATGGCGTATTTCCTTTTGAAAGCGTTCTTTTTGAGCAATATCCATACTCTTTAAAACATCAGACTGAAGAGATTTTATTTTTATAAGAAACTCATCGCAAGAACTACATGTATCGGTCCTGGGATATCCAAAGGCTATGTTGAATTTAGTGTTAAAGACTGTTCTGTACGACTCGTAAGATACTTTCATAGAAGGGTCCAACTCGCAAAACATTTTGAACATCTTTTTTATGTTTAAGTCTTCAGGTAAGTATAATTTTCTACTATCCTTCACACTGTAGTGGCTTTTCTTGCCTTTAAATGACTTTATATGTTCGTATATTGCTGCAAGAACGTGAGCATCAAATTTCCTAGGATGGTTTTCATTTTCTCGTCTTTTATCTTTTGGAGCGACTCCAGTTATTTTTAGTGACTTTTGTAGTATCTCTAATTTTTTTTTCTTTATTCCATGAACAGGCATAAAAGCTTGTCTACAAATATTTATTTCCTGTAAGCTATTATCAGTTCTAAAACGTACCCTGTAAGAATATGCACTACTTCTCAAATTTGCTACGTCTTCATCTTTCCTAGGCCTTCTTCGGCGAATGAGGAGTACCGTAATCAATCCACATAAGTAGGAGTTCTGCTCATTAATAGAAGTCATTGCGTTAAAATTCTTGAGAATGGTTTTTCTTGCTTCTTCAGGTACATTTTGAAAACATTGTTTACGACAGTTACAGTTTGCACCTACCTCGTGGCTCTGCAGTCTAATATTTTTCATGACATCTCTCATTCTGCCGTACTTTTTCCTCTTTTTTGATTCATTCTGTCTAGATACTACTTCACTCTCATTTCCGCTACTATTGTTCTCAGTATTCATTGTTATTTACTTTTAAATTACTTGAAAAACATTGAAAACACTAGCTACTCCGACTAATCTAACTCCAAACTGCGCGTATTAGATCGACATCTATCAGCTGTTTATATGGACTTTACCCTTTTAGGACCTGACTGATGCGGACTTGCCCCCTATTGGCGGTGTATGCGTAAATAAGAATTAGAATTTCACAGGCACTAAGCGCTTTTAGGACGTGTTCAAGTCGCTGACCACTTCTACGTTAAAATTGCTACAAGATGGCACCACTAGATCTATTTGTGTAAAATTACGACTTGCCCCCTTTTGGACCTGTACCCTTCAAATGGTTTCAACATCAGTTATTAGAAAAATTGGAGAGTCCATCTATGATTATACTGGATAACGCCCCTTATCACAGCATGATATTGAACAAAGTGCCCAACAATGCATGGACAAAAAAAAATATCCAAGACTGGTTGACAAATCAAAACATACCATTTTTAAACACAATGTTTAAAACAGAGCTATTGAGTATTGTTGCTCGGTACATAATGCTTCTTAATTATATATATTTTGGTCGACAGTTTATATTTCTTTTGTTTATTCCTATTCTTAAAATAACTGCTTTTTTAGAAACAAACCACCTAAAATATACGTGATTGATGAATTGGCGGAACAACATGGGCACAAAGTTCTTCGTCTGCCTCCTTACCATTGTATATTTAACCCTATTGAGTTAATTTGGGGCATAGCAAAAGGTTACTATAACAGACATATTGGTAGAGATGGTAACAGTGAAAAAGACTGTTTGGATATGTGGAACGAGGCTCTACAAACAGTTACCCCAGACATGTGGAAAAATAGTGTTTGACATACTGAGCAAGAAATTTTTAAATGGTATGAAAGAGAACGAATTTTTGATCGACCAGACATCGAACCTTTAATAATCAACTTTGAGAGTGATGAAGATTCAGATTCAGACAGCGCTGAAGAAAGAAACTCCGACTAACTTTATTGTACAGAAAAAGCTTACACCAGTAGCTTACCTAATTTTAGAATGCATTTTTCTGTATGAATTCGGTAAAATAAATACCATGCATAAAATTTGGAGGACCCCATTTGGATTTTTATTCAGTACCTTTAAGCTATCAATTAAATATGGTAGTTTCATAGTGTCATCTGATCAATAATTGTCATACTTAATGATTATGCAAGTACAGATCTATAATTTTATTATACTATTATTTTTGTTCTCATTTGAGGTTAATATTGCTTATAAACCTAGATATGTAAATAATAAATTTTATTATTTTACAAAAAGTTTGGCAACAATGTAAATTTTTCAACACACCCACCTTGATGACGTGCACGCCACTTTGTTTGGCGTTGACTATAAATCCATGTACCTCTGACATAATGTGTACGAGAGAAATGCCGTGTTGCCATTGTTGCACTCTTTCTAACGTACGTGTGTCACGCTTCTCGTGCTCCTCTCTCGTACACACGTCGTCAGTGTTATTTGGATTTCTCTGTATATCAGGAGAATCACGACAGTTACGTAAAATGATTCCAAAATTTGATGCCTGGATAACGAGCGGTGCTTTGACAGGGTTGCCATGATGGCGGATTGTCCTCAGATTTGGGATATTTTTTCTTGGCGAATTCAATCTCTGAAGACTCTATACTCCAGCGATTTTATTTCCGCCGCTATGATCAGTTTTCAAAATCTACAATCAGCTAAACGATGGAAGCATATCGCGATAATATTCGAACTTTGGTTCACAACTTCTTTGTTGCTTAAATATATCTACACCACACAGGTCATTGTTTCTCTTTCAATTTCGAAATGTTTCGCGATTACGATACTCCCTCGCCAGTTTTGGCACAGGAAGTAAAAAAAAAACGGACCTATGGAACAAGCCTTTGCTGTACGGTGACAGATAATGCATGTGTACTGAGACACCTCCAGCTGAGCATCCCGTCAATGTTACAGATTGTCGATTGCCTCCAAATGCCTCTATGTTTTCTTGGATCCATTTTAGAGCAAGAGCTTGATCTTTCAATCCGTTGTTGCCTGGCACTACATCATCTTCAGTACTGAGGAATCCTAAAAAAATACATACAGGGTGTCCCAGAAGTCGACGTCAAGCTGAAACCGAGTGATAGGCAAAGTCATAACAGCTATCAGAAAAATATTTAAAAAAATGTTATGTGTGTTTTGAAAATTATAGAAATTTCACACCCTACGGCAGTCTGTCAACTCCTGTTACTACAAATATTAACTTTTTTTGGATTTTATTCTCACAATGTAATGATGAATAATGCATCTTCAAACTGGTGTCTCAACCTTACTGGCAACTTTTCTCGTTCAGGAAAAATTGCGACTTATTTCCCAACCAAGTATTCCAAAGTAAAACTTTGCTCAACTTTAACTGGCTGTACTGGAAAAAAATGTACTACGAGAGTTTGGCAAGTAACCTTAAAAGTTGGCGCATTTAATAACGATTCCAAAATGGTATGTTATAACACTTAGAAGATTCCTCGTTAACTTATGCACAATTTTTATTTGAAAAGAAACTGATGAAAATTTTTCAAAATTTCCTAATTAAACAGCGATTATGAAAACGCACAAGGACCCTTAAGGATAACTGTTTGCACAACAGTGGGCGTCAAAATGCTGCTGATGATGATTTACCTTTACAGCAAATGCTCAAACTGTTTTCCTTCAGCCGCAATACGCGCTCGACATCTTCTTAAAAAAGATCGGGTTATTAAACGAGCGAATCCACGGTTATTAACAAACTCAGCTGCTTCCAATAGTCTTTGCTGTAGCTCAGCTACATTTTGAATCGGCTTGAAATACACTTTTTCTTTTACAGTTCCCCAGTAAAAAAAATCTAAAGGATTCAAATCAGGTGAACGGGCTGGCCACGGTATCGTACCAGACCGCCTTATCCATGTGCCTGGAAAGTTTTGATCGAGATACTCTCTCACTGAGAGTGCATAGTGCGCTGGGCAGCCATCATGCTGAAACCACATGTCCCTGTAAATACTCAGTGGCACGTCCACCAATAAATGTTGTACATGATTTTTCAAAAAATCCAAATAAACTTCAGCAGTCAAAGTCTCTGGGAACTCAAACGGACCGATTATTTTACCATTTAAAATTCCTGTCCAATGGTTTATCTTGAAGCGATATTGAGATTTATCTTCTCTCGTCAAATGTGGGTTTGCTACGTGCCACTCGTGTAAGTTATGCAGGTTCATGTACCCATCTTTCTTAAATGTGGTCTCATCCAAACATAAAATTTTTTCAAAGATCTGTGGATCTTTACTGTGTCTTTCTAACATTGTGCGACAAAAAGCAACTCGGGGCTCATAATCCCGGGGCAGGAGAGGTTGAACACGCTGTATGTGGTATGGATGAAGCACATCACTTACTTGCTATTGCACACTTTGATACCGATCAGTACTCCTTCGTTTACTGCGCATCTTTACATGTTCGTGCTTGTTGATTTCGTACTGTTACTAATTTTGGATTCGTGAACTGGACTGTTGATCGCTTGTGATTTGGATTTGGACTGTTTAATTGCTCTTCAAAACAACATTTGCTTTCCTTAGACTATCTTTGATAGTGTGGTTGTGCAGTGCCGCTATGTCCGCGTACACCGTACAAGAATATGCTAACATGCACCTCATTTATGGGGAATGCAGATGCAACGCTAGTGCTGCAGCGAGACTTTACTGTGAGAGGTACCCGAATGCAGCTCGTCATCCAGATCATCGAGTGTTCACAAATGTGCACCGCTTACTTTTCTCAGAGGGCCAACTACCAAACCAATCACACGGTGAGGGAAGATCTTTCCTTCCTTACGAAGACGTGGTGCTAGGAGCTGTCGAAGAAGACCCGAGTACTTCAGTGCGTGCAATAGAACTAAAAACAGGTGTGCCCAAAAGTACAGCCCATAGAATCTTGCAAAAAAACGTGCTCCATCCATACCACGTACAGCGTGTTCAAGCTCTTCTGCCCCGGGATTATGAGCCCCGAGTTGCTTTTTGTCGCACAATGTTAGAAAGACACAGGGAAGATCCACGGTTCTTTGAAAAAATTGTATGGTCAGATGAGACCACATTTAAGAAAGATGGGTACATGAACCTGCATAACTTACACGAGTGGCACGTAGCAAACCCACATTTGATCACTGTTTAATTAGGAAATTTTGAAAAATTTTCATTGTGCATAAGTTAACGAGTAATCTTCTTAGTGTTATACCATTTTGGAATCCTTATTAAATGCGCCAACTTTTAAGGTTACTTGCCAAACTCTCGTAGTACATTTTTTCCAGTACAGCCAGTTAAAGTTGAGCAAAGTTTTACTTTGGAATACTTGGTTGGGAAATAAGTGGCAATTTTTCCTGAACGAGAAAAGTTGGCAATAAGGTTGAGACACCAGTTTGAAGATGCATTATTCATCATTACATAGTAAAAATAAAATCCAAAAAAAGTTAATATTTGTAGTAACAGGAGTTGACAGACTGCCGTAGGGTGTGAAATTTCTATATTTTTTTCAAAGACCTATAATTTTCAAAACACATACATAAAATTTGTTTAAATATTTTTCTGATAGCTGTTATGACTTTGCCTATCACCCGGTTTCGGCTTGACGTCGACTTCTGGGACACCTTGTATATCCGTTATACAAAATAAGTTCGACATCAGCCTTGCATTCGTGATAATAGAAATAAGTAAAGTCTCCATCATGGCTGGAGTCCTAGTCTGACTGTCAATAAATGTCATAAATATTTTAGCCGTATTTTGAGACAGCTAGTATGGCAGAAATGTTTAATATCTTGTATCGCGCGAGATTGTACATACCTAGAGCGCCCAATCTGTAGTTAAAACTGACCACAACGATGTCTTTGCCCATGATATATTTATCGCCAATGCCCTTCTGGGAATATCCAGTCATAAAGAATCCACCGTGAATGTGAGCTACCACATCCAACAGTTGTTTACTTCCGATTTTTGGAACGTACACGTTCATGTACAAGCAGTCCTCTTCGCCTGTAAAATATAAAGGAAATGCAGTAGAGGCCGCTGCGTTCACTAGCACTCAGCAGTGGACATCCAATTTATCGAAGGGAATAAAATTTTAACCAAATTCCAAGCTGGCTTCTGGAAGAAACACTCAACTACACCACCTTTTATTTCGGGCTTAGAGCATTTTTTATTTTTGGATGTGCTTTCCACCCTAGAAATATTGACACGTCGCCCTGAAACACCCTGTACGATATTACTCAGTAACAAACCTTGAACATTATCGCTAAAATCCGTAGTACTTTGTGGGCAAACATAGATCCTTGTGGCGTTCCAAACGCCTTTCCACGATTCAATCGGCTGAGGCTCTTTGAATCTCCGGTCGCCTGTTGGAGGTTTAGCGTAAGGAACGCCTTCGAAAGCCGCGTATTTTCTGCCGTCGAATGATGTTCGCCATGTTCCTTCAACCTTTCCAAGTTTCGTCTCAACTTGCGGGTGATCACTTACAGTAGTGACAGCGCCTGGAAAATTCTTTAGATACATTGTGTCCGATATATTTAACTGACTGCTTTTAATCCTGCGACGAATATACAGTCTTTGAGAACGATGTCTGGTAGACGTCTCAGGGCGCTCCACTACACTTTCACGAACGCTGTCGATATTTTCCGGAGTACCAACAGTTCGAACAGGGTCCGACCTTGGCAAGTCTTAAACTTCACCTGTTTGTGCAAATTTATGTACCAACTGACGAATGGTGTTGACACTGCACATGTTTTTACCCCACTGACAAAATGTTAGTCTGCGAGGATTGTATATTGTAGGGATACAGCAAATTTTCCCGTAGGATTGTATGGACTATGATATGCGATAGTCCTACGCGGCGGCCTAATTCCCGAGTGCTGATAGCTGCATTGATTTCCACGATATTTAAAATTTATTCCTCCTACTTTGTAACCTGTCTTTCACGAGTGCGAATATTAGTGGGCTGAACACTTCCTGTATCTCGAAGTCTTTGGTTCACTTGCACAAATGTCCTTCTGTCTGGGTGTACCCGTTGGCGAAATCTGTAGCGATAAATTTCAGCTGCAAGATTTGAATTCTGACGAGCTTCGCCGTAAACTAACAACATGTCGGCGAACTCTTGATTCGAGAACATTGTAAATAAACACGACGTCGTACGCGAACAAAAACAAAACAACACTTCCGATGCTCCGCTCGACAAAACGATAAAGTAATTTATCTATGCAAAACGATAACTAACCACCGCTACCGTTTGCGAACGATTGCCGCTTCGATAAGAGTGATGAAAGACCGACACGGTGTTGTCATGTGTGTTTTAAATATTTAATATAAAGAAACTTACTTACTGATTATAAATTTTGGCTTAATTTAGAAAAACTTAATGCCATTTATTTGTTAATTACCTAATTTAAACACTTATTCGACAGTACTTTTCTGATATATCCGATATACAAAAAATATTGCATGAAAGACTTCATATTAGACTCTATAACTTTAAAACACAACTTTTTCTTCCAGAAGGTCATATAAAAAATTTATAGCCGGACAATCTGCGAAAATTAAAAGTTCGTCAACTTTGACCAAAGAAACTAGACTGAAAATCGCATTAAAGTAAATGAACCTCTTCGGGGACTTGTAGGGGAAGGCCTGAGTTTTAATTTAGATACGTGGCAATCTGGAAAATAATAATTTTTAACCGAGTTTTAATCAATGAAGATGACCATTTGTAGGGTATTTCAGACATTAAATGGCTTATAGCTCGGAAACGATTCATCTTATAGAGAAGTTCCTAAGCTTCTTTCTCGTTCAGAATAATCCGAAAAATCACAAAAAATGGTCGCAGCGACAAAAGCTTTTTTTGTAGTTACTTTAGGATTAAAAAGTGGTCCAAAGATTCTGAGTATCATTCTTTCTCCGCACAAATTACAAGCTCAGTTGTGTCCAGTGCCTTGTCTATACGTACATGATTAATTGACTATACGAGTACTCACATTTTATTCCTAAAAAGCACAAAACCGTGATATAACCTTTCAACATTTTCATTGAGATATATTTAACAACATTTGTATGATTGCATATGTGCTACGGTTGAACCGGTGCTGAAGTGTAAACATATTAGATAAGGATATTATTACATTAATACAGGATGTTCCACGTAAAACTGCAGCGATAGATTTTATGGAAAGATAGAGATTATATACAGGGCGTTCAAGATAAGGATCTTATACATGGGGATCTCAATACGTATCGGAGATACAGCTTACTATAAATTAGGAAAAGTTGTGCTCTTTGGGGTGTATTTACATGCCGTTGAGAAACTTGTAAAAATATATATCATGGCTTACTGAGAAAATTGGGAAAAACTAACATTTGGATTGACTTTAAATTGATTTCTCAAAAAAAAAAAAATGTAATAAAAGCCCTACAGAAATTAAGTTATAAGCTCGAGTTTCAATGATAAATTGAAAAATAAATATCTGTATTTTGCGCTCATCGTCGTGATATTAGAACACGCAATGGAAACAATTTTGAACAGCTTTTATAGGTAAGTGAACTGTTAAACTGTATTATTTTATTATCTAGATTTCTGTAGAAATTTTTTTACATTTTTTTGGGAAATCAACTTCTTTCGTTACAGTATGGTTTATCTGAAGTCACTTGAAATAGCATAAAAACCTTTGGTCGGCGCGTCCTTTGTAATTTCATGACGTATCATAGGCGTGCGGTTATTTATTTAGAACGATAATAATAATGTTTTTATATCACAATAAATGGATTTTACTATCTTCTTATTTTTTTGATTTGGGATAAAAAATACTTATATTGGGAGTTTAATTTATGTTGACCGAAAGTTAAGAAATGGAAAAATTACAGAATTCCAACGTTTGACATAGGCAAATATTTACATAGCAGGTAGGTATATAAAAAGGTATATAAAGACTTACATTATAGGTATTTATATATCATCCTCGCCTTCGGAGCTGTCGCTAGAGTCATCTTGTAGAGGAATTACAACGGGATTTACAGGAGGCAAAACACAATATTCATTTTCTTTTTCAATAATATGCCTAGAACACTGCTTCCATAGGTCTGTGGCAGCAATAATTTTTTTTTAAAGCAGCCCAGACCAACTCAATCGGGTTAAAAATGCAGTAATAGGGAGGTAGACGTAATACTTCATGGCCATTTTGCTGAAGCAGATTGTCAACAACATACTCTTTTTCAAATTTGTCTTTTAATAAGATCCAATAATATGGCTTTGGTTGATTTTTGTGGTATTTCCATTCCCTTATCCTTCATAAAATCAATAATGTCTTGTTTTTTTGTGCCTGTATTCGGAATTTTGTTTTTCTGTCGGGAATGGTATGGCGCATTGTCCATAATAATCACTGAATTTGGGGAAATGTTTGGTATTAACTGCTGCTCTATCCACTTTTCAAATAAGTCGGAGGTCATGTCCTCATCATAGTCGGCACATGATTCTTTGATATTTTTGGCAGATAACAGCAAGGCATTTAAAATGCACTTGTTGCTGTCGTCAACCCAGCCGTACTGCACAACATCATGGGTATCATACCACATTTCATCCAGGTAAATCAGATTTCTTTTCTGCTCTCTATAGATTTTAACTTTGTGTAAAAATTCTTGGCGCAATTCAACGATTCGAGACGACTCCATTCTTTTATCTAATTTTTTGTATTGAATACCACACAGTTTTACAATACAGTGCAGTGAGTCTAAGCATTTGTAATTATAAAAATCTTCAGGATAATCTTTTAATTTATCCCGTATCATTTCCAACGTGGGCACCAAATTTTCTTTATAAAATCCGTATATATAATGCTGCCGTATTTTACAATGCTTTGCCCAGAAAGTACAGGGAAATGTCTTTTGCTCGTTTTCGAAGGCAAATCAAGCAATTTATGCTCACTCTTCCCTGATATTTATATAACTGATTTTCTGAGCCATTTAGGCATACGTGTACATAGTGTATATAGTTGTAGTGTTCTTTAGTTTAGTTGATTAGTTATTTAACCTTTCTGTACTCCTTAGTTTTTCTTATATATTTTTTTTTTTTCTCTTTTTTTTTTGGAATTGCACACAACATCGTGCTTAAAGTACAGACAAAGGTAGTTAAGTGTAAGAGTAGCTCAAGCTAAACTTCGCTATCTTTGTCCCTCACATGTACAAAATATGAATAAAGGCGTTATTATTATTATTATTATTATTATTATACGACGAATATCTTCCTGAAAACCCACGTCTATTCTTTTTAATTTTTGCCCTATGCGCTTTCTGTGGAAGGAATGGTTGACTACATCTCCCCTTTTTATAACCCGATAAATGGTAGACCGACTGATTTTTGTCAGGATACAAATTCTGTTTAAAATTTGATTTTGCGAGGAATCTGGATTTTCGTTTTTCAGACAATCATACATATTTAGGATTACTCTTTGGGTCTGTTCCTCTAAATCTTTATGAAAGAATTCTGCCTGCACAGGTTCATCAACCATCTCCTCGTGGCTTGGAGCATTTTCCCAAGGTCTCCAAAGAGCCATATTTAGGACACACAAGAACAATCAACACAACAATTAAATCAACAAGTAAACTGAGTATTCAAAAGTCAAAAACACACAAACTAATAAAATCTATGAAAAAACACGGACAGACTAAAGAAAACACGTTTATTCATCGCTACACGGGACTGGGTAAACTGTTTCAATTTTCAGTAGCCACCTGCACTTGTTCGGAGCTCTGAAATACACGCTTTCTCATTGGCTATGTCCACGCATAGGCGTGCTTTACTCCACGTGGACCGGTGAAACTGCCTTTCATCTTATACGGGGGATATTTGCTGCGAAATTTGGCGTTTTTTGCAGCAACAGAGCGTGTTAAATATAGATATATAAAACGCACCCGGTATTTCACAGTGTTTCAAGTGACTTCAGATAAAGTATACATATGTGGTTAAAATTTGTCGCTTAAGTTGTGAAACACCCTGTGAAATGTTGTTAATTGCATTCGTGTACGTAGCTCAGGACACAAAAGGTGTGAAATAAAACATACATTAAAAAAATAAACATATTTATTTACAACTCATCTTTCTTAGTAATAAACTTATCATTTTCCAAAAGGTCTAAGCTGTCCCAGAATTTCTTTATATAGAAGTCTGTTTCTACACTTTTCTGGATATCATCTGGACCATTGATATCGTAATACACGAACTCCTTTCTCACTGGTTCCCATTTAGTGTTATTGATGCTAGGTACTCTGAAACAAACGTAATTGTGAGTATATCTTGAAGTACAGAAAGCATATTTATTTTGTAATACCGTTACAGTATAGATCGGCTTAATTTGATGTCTGTCATAAAATTTATTTACAGTTTTTTACGTAAGCGGATATGAATTGACAAATTTATATTACCCTTTGCTAGCGTACGCATAGAGGATATCCATACACACATCTTTCAGTTTTACTTCTTGGGCTGAAAGCGGCTTGAATATGATTGCTCCCATGAAGTAGATCAAATCATCACCATGACATACGCCTGAAAAAAAAATGATATTACAAACATCTTCCTTAATAAAAACCACACACACAATTTTGCGGCGTCTGAGTTGCGTAGGGGCGACAGGACAGCAGTGGCAAGCAGGGGAAAAAGTACAGATCGTCACCAGTTGGGTGAGTCCTTGGGTAATAGCGAACGCTTCAACTGCCCGACCTGCTGCATCGGTCTTGTTTGAGCCCAACCAAAGCTCGTTATGGGCATTGAAATCACCAAGGAGAACTACCTGTTAATTGATGTTCAGGAAGTCGATCTTAACAGCGAGGTATTTAAGTAGGTCATCCCAGTTATGGTCCGAGGGAGAGCGATAAAGGCAGCAAATAAATTTTGGGGATGAAGGCCACAACACCCTAGTTTGTTCTCAGATTGAAGTGCACCTCGCAATTCGGGAAGCTAAGATGATTAATCGATGCAGACTCTGAGATTTTTGTCTGTGGCGGGACGATTGGATTGCAGGTGGTGATGGACAGCGTTAATGATGTTGTTAATCCCGCAGATGTTACTGAAACAAATTTTATCATCGAGTCCCGGACATTCCGAGAGTGGAGTGAGCTTAGTTTTTAAAAATGACAATCCCTTTTAGCAACAGTCTTACCTTTCTCTTCCTTTGGCAGCATCAGCAATGATTTTAAACTGTTTGAACCTTCATAATTGAAACGATACACGTAGATCGGAGACTTGGATACTTTGGACTGCAATTCCACGGAAGTTTGCATAGGTACCAAAAATGTTCTGTCTGTTGAAAGCTAAAAAGAACTCTTGGTGTACCTCTACTCGGGAAATGAAAACGAACCGAGCAGCAAAACACATCGTATGCCCAACAAAGTTTTTTAGAGCCGTATCGTACGCCTTCTTGATTTTCGTAGTTTTGAAATCCAATTAATGAAGCTTTCGGTAGTTTAGTAGCTTTCTGAAGCTTTGATTCTATCTACAGCTTCTCAAGTGTAGGAAGAGATGCGAATTTTTGAATAATATCATATGCATTCCGCGTGGCTCAATCTCAAAAGACTCCCACTTCATTTTCTGTAAAGACAATAAGAGTTCTTACTTCCATAAGTACCTCTGTTGATACTGAAGGATGGTCTGATAGTGATTCGAATGAAGAAGACAAGGAAGAAGAATAGTAAAAAATATATACAGGGTTCTAACTTTTAAAATTAATGCATAAAGTCTATATAAACATGGGTCGAAAAATGCGTGGCTTCCGAAATACAGGGTGTTTAAATTTACTTTCTAAAATAGTTTTTTTTAAATATTTCGAACAATATTTGATGTATAACAGTGAAAATTGGTATACAAGAGTTTTTTGGTACGATAAAACGAACCATGGGTAGTAGTTTTACTGTAGCCACTAGAGGGCGCGCTCTACTGTACCTGTAGTGTACTAAAATGACCGAAAAAATTTTCTTAGTGCAATTTTTTGCTTTTTGAATGAAAAAAACTGATTCTTCGCACTTTTCTGCATAAAAAAGCTCTCCTGTGAGTTTTCGTTATAGTTAGCCGTTTTTGAGATATTTCGATTTTTAAGGTTCGAAGCATTTTTAATTATTTATGGGAAAATAATATTTTTTTTTACATTTTCGATTTGGGCAT